TAGACGGTATCGCGGATGACACCAGCTACAGATAACTGAAATCAGCATATTTTATATAGATCCAATATATGAAAGAAATAGAACATACCGCGAAACCTATACCAGTTACAGAAGTTGACATCCGTCTGTACCAGGTCACCCTGAGAGTTGGCCATGGAGATGAAGGCCAGGCCGAGGCCTACGACGGCCTTGAAGGTCTTCATTTTGGTTGTCGTCTGCGAGTAAAGCAGAGAGAAAGATAGGCCGGGGACAGTGGCGTCAAAGTCGATCGCTTAGCAGTGATGCAAAGATGCAGGTCCAATACTTTATTAGCCTAGAAGCATCTCTCTCCCATGGCTAGATCTTAAGACTAATATTGCGTTTTTCGGTGGTGTCTGCACTTGTTAACTGATGGCCCTGCTTCAGAGACGTAGAAAAGATGTAGTGATGCGTGCTCAAAGCTAGGTCGTCTAGCCAAAGGTGATATCTTCCACTAGAGTGTAACCAGGGCGACTTTTGAGTCCTTCGATGACGATGTCCTCTACTCCGTAACTATCGCTGACGATGTTACTGCTATCCAAGGAGTTGTAGGCTTTGAGCCAGATGAGGCTGATATCAGCTTGCGATTCAATCAGTGAAAGGGAACTCTAATTCACCTTCACAGGTCGAAAATAATAATCGTGGAGATAAAAAAAAAGTAAAGGTGAGCAGAATGATTCATCAGCCAGCTAGTGTTGATAGAAGAGAGAGAAGAGAAAAAGGAATAAACCGGACAGTGGATCAAATGGCAGAGAAAGGGAGGGAACCAAACGATTTGGTGGGACAGAGTAATACATAGTAAGGGGAGAGGATAAAAAGCCCCCCATTGTCCAGACAAAATCCCAGCTGAAAGCCGTTCAAAAGAGAAGAAAATAAGGAAGGTAAAAAAGAAAAAAAAAAAGGAAAAAGGAAAAATCGACAGGGGGGCTAGGGCGTTGGTCGTTGGTTGCTGTCCAGGCTGGCGAATGATAGGCTTGCATCTATGTATATAGGTAAGTTCATAATATACATGCATGCCCAGGGCCGCAGGATGCAAGAAGACGACACAGAGAGGCCAAAGAGAGAATAACATGCCAAGTAGGGAGCCTTCATTGGAGATGTTCCTTTAGATGTTCTGATATCTGCCTGATTGAGAGCCTTCGTCTTGGTCCCGTTATCCGTTTGCCTGTGAAGTGAGGACATATGGATAATGTTATATTCCAACGAATGGGCCTTCTGCGGACTCTGCCCAAGGCCAACTTCTTCCAGGGATTCCGTATTATGTGCATGAAGTAGTACGGAGTACTCCGTACTCCGTAGTATCCTCGACTCCTCGGTGAGTGTTGCATGATTCCTCGCTGGCCGACTGAATCCCTTCCTGGCAGGAAGAAAAGGGAAAAAAGGTAGCTTGGACTCTTCTTTCTTGACCATGCTATGCCGCTCGTTTGTTCCTCGGTGCTCTCTTACCCCTGCTGGATGTTGCTGTTGTTTGTCCGACATCGACTTTGCAAGGGGGATCCCTGACGCCGCCACTTTTAGCGCGTCTCTGTATTTTTTTTTTTGTGACAGTTGGACAGTTATAGAATGGTAATTTATCCCATTTCCCATCTTCTCTCATACGGAGAATTCCTTTTTTCTTCTTTTTGTTTTCTTCTTTGTTGTGGTTAGACAGTGTGCGATCTCCTCTCCGGATGCGGCTTTGGTGGTTGATGTGGTTCGCTTGCCAGTTTCTACGCAAACTCGGATCGTTGCTCAGGGGCTTCTTTTTGTTTACATAGTAGTTATTGCCCGTCTGGCTCTCCTCGAGTGATCGAGGCCAGGACGACTTTTATCCCTGAATATGAGCGGGAAAAGAGTGGCTGGGAGGAGATGCAACATCGAGCGGCGTGACGTCGTATCATGTCCTTGGATGTGCATACATGGCTAGGGTGAATACAAATGCGGGCAGGGTCTGCACATACGGAGTACCGTGTATAATGTTCTTCTGCTCGGGGTCAACATTCCATGCATGATGCCCTTCTTGTCGCGCGGGGAGGAGATCCAATCTGGGAAGACAGCCGAACAGTCTGCTCTTGATTCTTTACTTATGTAGGTACAGATAACAGAAAGGCGAGCCAAGTCTGCAGGGCTCTTCGCATGGACGACCCCGAGTAGATTTCCCATAGACACTATGTACGGAGCACTACGTAAGTAGGTAGTTACCGAGAAGCCCTGCTTCTCCAGGGTGAATACCTTATATACTGAGAGTCAACCCTTGTATATCTTACTATAGGAGTGGAATTGATGTCCGTAAAGGGCAGCTATCATTCCATGGTTATGGAGATCCGTACTTATGTATGTAGATAGATGCCCTGGTCTGCTTAGAAAAGGTATACGGGATAAAGCAAGGGTCTCTACAAGTCCAGGATTGAATCATGCATCCGTTCCAGTTTCCAAAACGATAATATCAGAGGGTAACGAATATGGTATATTCCATCAACGTATTTACTCTGTTTGGGGCCCATCTCAGGAACTAACTACTACATACATACATAGTACGTACTCCGTACAGGTAACAGCTTGCAGGGATTTGGGCTAATGCTCAGGAAAAGGCCAACATCATGAAGACACGTGCGGACAGTTAGATCAGTTACTGTCCGAAGGATACCAGAAGTCAGCTTCATGTTGGGCGGCTGAGTTTGTTTGTCTCTGATCCTTCACGCAGCCTTATCTTGACTTGCTGGTGCCACCGTCTTTTCAGCCTCGTTGACTTGGTTACAACCACTGGTAATTGTTATAATGCACGCTCTTGAGGGGCTCAGGCGCAGGAAGAGGGACACTTCAGTGGGCTTCGTTGCCTCGGATACACAGTTCCCTAGGAAAGTTCGCCATATACATAATAGTAGTATATATATATCCCTACACATATAACTAGCTGCCTGGCGGACCAGGGACCAGGCCATATCCCCAGAAGGAAAAAAAAAAGAGTTAGATCAGCAGCTGCTTGCCCTCGTTCATCTCGTGCCTGAGCAGCCCCAAGAATTTCGATTACTATTGCTCATCGTATCATTGCTTCCCTGGAAGGCGGGGCATATCAGCGGTCCCATGCATTTCTGTTCTTCGTCCGATGCATGTCAAGTCAATAGTGCGCATTTTCTTCTGGTGGAGTCTCCGCTCTGCAGGCAGACCTTGCTCTCTATCCCAGCCTGTGGGGAGAGAGCTTAAGCCCGGCCCAAAGCGCATCAAGAGAAAGAGAGAGAGAGATCTTTGGCTGGTGTTAAGCGATTTTTTCAAATCATCTCTTCCTTCTTTCCACTGCTTGCTGGTGGATACATCTTAACAACTGTCTCCGAAGTCAAGACTTTTTCCCCGAGCCTATAGTTATTAATAGAGCATACTTAGACATTGCGAATGCCACAGCAAAAGTGCACTTGTCTCTAACTTTATAGACAGTTGAGTGAGCCTCATGATGCAATGTCTTTTATAGCTGACATGTTATATTGACCAAGCTTTAGGCACAAGCTACGGCTTCTAAATGGGGATATTAATGTAGGACATGCATAGCCTCCAAGTTCTAGTTCCAGAAGCATACTCTGGTTAATGGTATGGCACTAGCATAGCTCCTAGTAGTCATATCAACTATTGTGAGTGGGACGTGAATCTATCTCCAATCACACAGGATGTATGTTTAAAGAGGTCAACTGTCAACATGTATATTCTTAACGAGTATAAAAGAAGATGGGTTCGGATGAGGGTGAAGACAGTGGTGTTCGGCGGGTGAGACAGATTCCAAGCCTGTTTACGTATGCTTGACTGGATGCATGGCTCGAGAAGCAGCCCAAAGCGATATAATATGCCAATTGTGTTGCATACCATGTATGTAATAGTCTGCCCAGGATATACGACAGAGGCTCCGCCTCTGCTTTGTTTTCTCGTTGGCCTAGGCTTGACTTTCCACAGGCGATGGTGGTGTGGCGTGGTGGTGTTAGTGAGCGCTGGGGGGCCTGGGCATTCAGAGGGCCCCGATTGCCATCTGCAGGCCTCTTTGGCTCTTTGTGCTCTGTTGGTTTTGGGCAGGGTGCTTGAAGCAGGTACAACAAGACTAAGTTGTCCGGTGAGACATGCTCCTCCGTTGTTTTTATCCAGTAACTGTATTCGATTCTTCTGCATGGGTTTGCTCCATCCATCTAACATAGTAAGTACAAATATCGACTCATGCTATCGGGTTGACTGGCAGGGGTGCATGCTGGCGGAAGAATCGTCACACGAAAGTTGCTCATCTCGGAAGCAGGGCAAGGCAGGGCATGCAAAGAACCGCGAGAAGCGTCTTCCGGTCGAGCCTGAGATGGGGATGGAACTATATTATCATCATCCAGAGTGGCTTCTGTGTAAGCGCTAAAGAAGTACCCCATAAAGAAAACGGTGTACTCTGTAACGCTGCTGTTCTTGAAGTGGCTGGAAGTTCGAACGAGAAAGAATAACTACGTGGTCATGTGCCCGCGCGGCTCTTTCGAGGACTTCGACCTTCATCTTTTTTCAACTTCATCTCTATTCAACAATCAATCAACCTCGACTACATAACCAAGGAGTACACTCTATGCGGTTAAGATCGTATGGAATACATCACTTCAATGCTGGTGTGACGATGTCGCTTGGGGCCTGCAACTGCAACCCTGTCGGGCGTCTTCCGCCATCCCATGCCGAGTTTCCCATGGACTATACGGAGCTGCTATTACATATATGTATACATAGTACCATTATTAAAAACACAGGGCCGTATAATACAGTTATTGGTTTACAACTTCCGAAGCAGCGCCCACGATCATCTCTGCATGCTGTCAACTCGTCAACTCGTTATCTCCATACATACGGATTACTCCGTACATATAGTATATCAGTTCTCCATACCCTAGTCTCCATCCGTATGTTAACTACTTTGGGACTAGGAAAATCTGCACGATGCATCCTGCATCCCTCATCCCCATTCCAAAGGAAGACCAGGCAAAGGCCTGCTACGGAAGTGGTTCTCGCTGCAAGAGCCATGTCAGTTTCTTTCTTCACCAGTCGTTCCTTTTTTTGTTTTCTTTTTTTCAAGTTGCCTGAAAAAAAGAAAAACGAAAGAAAAAAAAAGAATACAGAGCAAATAAATGGAAATGTTATATACTAATATGCCATGCAGTCAGCGAGCGGGAGTGACGTTGCATTCAGCTGTTTCTTTCAACCATTATTGGGAAACCTTGGGCCTCACACTTCAGAGATCAAAGCAAAAATGGCGGCGGCGAAGCAGCTAGAGAGAGGCTGCAGCTTCTTAGCCTTGGATCCTTCGTGTTGAGACGGATAACATTCTTCCCCCTCGCGATGACGGGATACCTGAAGCTCCCACTGCTTTGGTTCTGTGATGCGAGTGCGGGTATGGAGCACACACCTGGACCTCTCATACGCAGGCACTTGTTTACCCTGCCCTTTATTTTTTTTTTTTTTCTTTTCTCTCCCTCTTTTCTTCTGTTTTGATAATTACTGGACATATTATTTACAAGGGACCCCTACCTCCCGAGCTCTGCCCAAATAGGTCACGATTCTGACATTCTTATCTACCCTTCTTGCCGCATGCATTTTACTCTTTTCTACGGCTTTTTCTTTTCTATCCCTCCCCAGATACAACGTTGCATAGTAGCAGTCTCTAAGCTTCAATTGCTTAGCCGTGTGGCTGTTCCACAGTCTGTTGTTGAATATCCACCACAATGAGGTTGACTACGTCTGTTCTGCTATGGGCGGCGACGTCAGTACTTCAGGTTGATGCTTCCCAGTCTTACCGTAGCCCTACCGGGCCTGAGGGCTACGGAGCATACCCCCCGAGGTACCCAACTTCGTACACTACTATCACGACGACGAGTACAATCCATAGCTGCCCGCCTCGAACAACAACCATCTTGACCCCATCTCACACCAATGGGTGTGAATACCCGGGCTGTCCAAACAAGCCACCATTTCCTGATCTTCCGCCTTTGATTTGTGAGGTAAGAATAATCATTCATACAAAGCTACGGGCTTTTATGTTATGGTCCGAGAGGCGCATGTCTGACGAGAGAAAATAGATATATTGCAAAGCTAAAGGCTGCACGCTGTGCAATAATGGAGTCTGTCCTAACCAAGGCGGTATCTATAAGCGCCGTGAAGTGATGAAAAATCTCGTTGCCCGTAACTCTGATAGCGTGGAAGGCTACAATTTCCACCCAGATACCACCTGCTGCTGTTGTTGTGAGGGTGGCGGCTGGAAGAAGACCATAACCGTCACCAAAACCAAAACCCAGACTGAGACTCAGACCAAGACCAAAACTGAGACCCAGAACATCACAAAATTTATTACCGAATATGTCACTAAAACAGTACCGTCTCCTACAACGGTTTACAATGAAACTACGATCCATGATTCAACGACAATCTCGACAACTGTCATCCAGCCCACCACCATCTCGACCACAACCACATTAACAACGACAATTACTACAGCAGTGCCAACGTACATCACAACTACCATCTACGGAACAGTGACATCGGTTGTAACTGTTATGGTGCCTACCACGATTACTTCAACCTATGTGTCTACGATGTACACTACGCTACCAGGGACAACTGTCAGTGTTCCGGTTACTATAACGGGACCTACCATAACTGCACCTCCCGTTACCCTGCCTCCAGAAACTCATGTCATTACTTTGCCAGCATCTACTGTTACTAAAGTTATTACTCTGCCTGGAAGCACCGTGACAGAGACAAGCACATTACCTGCCAGCACCATTACCCAGTCTGGAACAACCATCACGCTTCCTGGGAGTACAACAGTCATCACATCCACTATTCCAGCCTCAACAATCACACAGACCTTAACAGAGCCTGGAAAAGTGAGCACATTAACCTTGCCCCCGGAAACTCATGTCACCACTTTGCCGGCATCAACAATTACGAGAGTCACCACCCTTCCTGGAAGCACCATTACCCAGTCTGGAACAACCATCACGCTTCCTGGGAGTACAACAGTGATCACATCCACTATTCCAGCCTCAACAATCACACAGACCTTAACAGAGCCTGGAAAAGCGAGCACATTAACCTTGCCCCCGGAAACTCATGTCACCACTTTGCCGGCATCAACAATTACGAAAGTCACCACCCTTCCTGGAAACACCGTAACAGTGACAAGCACACTACCTGCCAGCACCATTACCAAGTCCGGAACAACGGTCACAATCCCTGCAAGCACAACAGTAATCACAACTACTCTACCGGCCTCTACCGTAACTCAAACGCTGACAGAGCCTGGAAAAGTAACTACAGTCACTAAAACTGGGACCGTTACTACCACAAAGACCACTTTCTCTATATCTCTTTGCCCGACCAGGACGGCTAACCCAACTTATACCCCGTTAGCTCCACTTCCTTCAAACTACATATGGGGCTGTCCTCCAGGACAGCTGTGCAGGCCGAGACGGACCCCAGAAGACGGACAGTGCAACTTCGAAGTCGGCCTCCCAAGCCGCAACTACGTTTGTAGCCCAGATGAGTGTGTCCCTAGCCCTCCACGACACCCCCCACAACATTGGGCTCCCGGTAAAGTTGAAAAGTGGGTTGTTTCTCCCGGCTATTTCAACCTAGACCCGAGAAAGTTCGGACTTACATTCGACATTTTCTCATTTGAAAATGTGACGGCAACACCTGAAGGCTACTTCCGTCGCTCTTTGTCTACCCTTTTCAGACGTGATCAGGAAGTTTTGGCAGACGACTGTTTTGATGAGTGTAATGCAATTACGACAGAGGCAGAAGGTGCAGGGGCATCAAAGGAACTGTGCGAACCGGGATCTCTGTTCAACAGGCTTGTTGCTAGATGTCGAAAGTGCACTGATGACAGGGCTCAAAACAACGGCACACTCTTGACTTTCCACGAAGGCCTCTACCCAGATTTCCAACCATGGCTAGATTTCTGTGCCTCCTTGCCTGCTCCCACAGGGCCTACAACAGTACCAGAGCCTGGAATGACTTCTACTGAATCGTCGTCTACACCATCGACGATGTCCACAGAGACCCATACACCCACAACTTCTATGAGCTCATCCGTTATAACAGAGTCTACCCTCACAACCTCAAGCGTATCTTCCACTGAATCTTCCACTCAATTATCGACCATTGAATCAAGCATGGCTTCCTCGACCGCGTCAGCAACAGATTCGTCGACAACGGAAGCAACTGAGACCACTTCGACAACTGAGCCTACAGAGTCATCAACCGCAGAATCAACCAAGTCAACATCTACTAGTACTCTATCGAGCACTGGAAGCGAGCCACAGTCGACGACGACGGGTGAAACATCTTCGGTTGACAGTTCAACCACCACTCGAGGGGGTGGAAGCGGCTCCCCCACTTCTTCTGGTGGACATTCGTCACAGGGCCCTGTCCCCACTAGCACGGGACATGGTAGTACGTCTATCACCACCATCGGCTCCATCCCTGGTTCGGGGACCGGTGTGCCACCTTCTTCCTCAACTGGCCCAGTCCAGTTCCCTGGAAGCGCCGGATCACTGTCCCCTTCAGCATGGGGTAAGGCCTTGACCTACCTCTCAGGGTTGGTATTACTTGTTGCATTTATATAATCCGATAACCTGACGAATTAAGTACTCGTAAGGTTTATATAACTCCTCATCGCCTTCCCCTTACAACTGGCTGCAGGAATAACTAATGTCCAACTCACGCCTAATATTGTCATCATTACGACATGCTTTTTTTTTTTATCTTTTTTTCTTACCTTGTAATGGATTGGAAATGAAATGTGATAGGACGCCTTAAAACGGCTAGGGCCTGTGGTCATAATGCCACTACACTTAACGGTCGTCCATATTTATAAATCTAATGAATTGGAATCTACTATACATAATGAACATCAATTGCCTCGTTGATCAAAGCTATATTTGATGCAGAATAGAATACTTAGCTAAGATAATGTTTGGTAGCGTCGGGTTAAATATGAACAGCTGAAGCCTAGATCTTTCTACTCAGTACTAGATGTTCACCATGAAGATTATAAATAGTTTATCCTCCAGCTCCTACTATCCCATCACCTCTATCCCACCTATACCGAGCGTCTGAGTTTGTGACAGACAGAAACCGTATCTCAGAGATCGCGGCACCCACCCTTGCAGGCACAGCAGAACATGTTGCATTCTATAAAAAAAACAAAACAAGGTGTTAAGCCCCGATCCATAAAGCATTAAAGTGCAATAGTGTATGCATGTGCACTTACTTCCATATCCACAGCATGGAGTTCCCTTTGTTCCATCGTTACATAACCAGCGCTGTAGATGCAAGAGTTAGCCACTCAATCCGAAGAACAAGTTAGCTTGACCACTTACTTGACCACTGGACTTGCAACAAGCACTCTCACCTCTGGCTTCTATCATCCCCATGAGGCCTTGGGGAGCGGGACTGAAGGGGGCTGGGTTTGCGAGAACCAACAAGGGGAAGAAGAGCAGTATGGCCGAAATCTTCATCTTCAGGGAGGAGGATGTTATGGATCTTTTCTTGAGATGGTCAGGTTTATATCATCTGTTCCAATATATTGTGGTTGTAATGCTGGGGGGAGGATGCGTCTTTTATATCGTATCTAGTTGTTTAGCAGGATCATATCGATTATACCAGATGCCATTTATTTAACTTGGTGTTTCATCTCCATGAGCTTTCCCTTCAGTAGGCCTAGTTCACGCATATCCTAGTGAATGCGGTTTCGCGCTCTACGGCGGAGAGCAAGTTAGCTATCGCGCGATCAGAATGCTTTCCAGCAACTGGTAACTGGCAATAATCAGATCGACAGTCTCGATAGAGCTCTTGAGATGGAAATATGCTGGCTCCTGATATATGTACATACCCGGTTTGTTTGAACTAGGATCTCCTGCAGCGTGTCCCGCATCTCAAGGTATCAAACTCGATGGCGGAGGCACAGAGTTGTCTCCGTATAGGAGCAAAGGTATGCAGGGACTGGATAGCTCCTCCAATTGATAATAAGCCTTCAATCCGAATGGTATTTGGCCTTTGTCCCTGGAAGTTGAGTATACATGTTATTCACGCAAGCCCCAATCTTTTCTTCAAACTCGATCTAGCTCTTGCATGTAGGCTGTAGGCCGAAGAATGCCCGTGGTTTCCAAGTCTTCCATACAACCCATTTCCCGGCGATACTTATTGATCCAGCGGTCAATACGGTGGAATAGAATTTTTTTTTTTTTGAATATATGAAGCCGTTTGCAGCGTCTTTTGAGGGATTGTGGTGAAATAAAAGTGCCGTTTCATCTGTAAAAATTGGTCAAGAGGCGTATTCATGTATTGTCTTTATATAATTGCCACAATGAACCGTCAATCATGGTGTTTTACGTTGGTTAACCCCTTTTTTTTAGGTCAAAGTGCGACTGTTCGCGGCTGCGGCCGTTTTATTTCTTGATTGATGTTGATCCTGATGGCTTGTACCAACCAGAGGGGGAGACTCGGTCATGGATCGAGTGTGAGACCAGCTATAAAGCCAGGCATGATGTTCAAAGGGAATGGTAAATAAAAATAATGATATATACGAACAGGACGTCCGTTTGTTATTGGTACATAATCAACACCGAGAGCAGTATTTATACGTTGCTAATGCCGTTAGAAAAGGGGGTCCAACGAACAGACATAAAAAAACACTGGAAATGAGACTTTTGATCTTCTTAAGGTATTCATTCACCATGAAAAGAGAAACGTCCACCAAGGCTTCTGCCTTTTGCTTCCAAATCTATCGCTTTTTGGCCCCAGCCTTAGCTCAGGGGAGACCCTGTGCATGCGAAAATCGCCAGGTGCTGTGGGATTGTTATTGTTGTTGTATATACTCATAGGTACATCAGAGGCAGGATTAGCCTTCTGCTCGTGAAGCTGGTCAGTCGCTCTGAGACAGACCCCGACATTGTTAGGTTGATGCTGAGATTGGCGCTGAGCGCTGCGCTCCATCAGCTTCCCTGCCGCATATATACAGCCGCCATAAGCGTACCGGATTAGGGAGTCACTGGTGAGGCTGCCAACTATGAACACATCTTTCGCCACCTCCAAGTTCTGCATCGCTGAGGGCTTGAGGGTATCTTTTGCAATGGACGCATCTTGTGATTCATCAATGCTCGCACCGAGTATCTCACGCTGAAGCTTGTCGTCAAGATACGCCAGCGACCCCTTTCGGCCGACGGCATAAGATAGACCGGAAACACGACGTTCAAGAGTAGATCCGTCACTGCGTCTGAGTATGACGACACCCTCGCCGCCTTTGACTGCTACGCTCACGACAAGAGTGTTTGGTAAGGGCTCGTATACGTCGTCCCACTCCCGGCTCTTGAGAAAGGGGGACGAGAGGGGTGCCCGATTTCTTCCGTTGGCTTTGGAGGCAGTGAACTTTGACAGTGTGCTACGTTTCATGAGCTTATATATTCCGGCGTACTCGGGGTAAGCTTGCTGGTGGCAGCTCCGGAGTGGGGACGGGCTTGTTTCTGGCTCCCACTTGAAGATATGGATGATCTTCTGGTCCCTCTGCGCGGATATGATTACATCGGCGGCGGAGAAGCCAGAGCCTATGACAAGGAGAGGCGCCCTCTCTCTTGCAGGCACGCTTGGCTGGGCTGGAAGGGCGAGCAACGGCTGAAGCAGGGGCCTGGCAGGCTTCACTTCGGTGAATATCCCCGATGCTAGAACGAGGTGTTTGCAATGGATACGGTGGGAACCGATGCAGAAGCCGTGCTGAGTTCGCGACACATCGGATACAAGCTGTCCGGTTCGAATAGACTCCGCGATGCCAACGGCAGCCGGGTATGCGGCCAAGTATTCTGCTATACCACGCCTGGACGGCCGGGTATAAGACGGCAGGTGGGAGCCGTGGGTGGCGTGGTGGTGATCGTAGTAGCTGTAGCCGGGCAACGAAAGCATGCCGGCGTAACTGAGCGACTGGATGTCCCAGGTGGTCCCAGGCGGACACTCGGTCCACTGGCCACCGGGCTGCGGTGCGTCGCCGAGAGCGAGATGAGGGACGGCACGCCGAGGATCGTGGCGCCAGGAGATACAGGAGGCCGCCTCGCGGTCGTCCGTCTCACCAAACGGGCGTACGAGTGCGTCAATCAGCGAGTTGATAGGGAGGGATTGGGTAGAATAGGAGAAGCGTGATGCCTCAAAATGGTTGGTCAGCCAGGCAACGTCGAGCTGGAGAAGCTCCGTTGCATCCTTTAGCTTCGCATGGAGGATCGGATCAGGGTGAGGCGAGTCGAGGTTGTAGTAGGGAACGTTGCCATGTAGGATAAAGGAAAGAATCATAGCAGACGGCCCGTTGCCTGGTGGGGGGTTGTTATTCTTTAGCATGAGCTCCGATACTGCTTTGATCAAATCAGAGGGTCAGCACTCACCGACTATGACTGCGTCAACAAATGACGAGTCGGACGGTTGGCCTTCCATCAGGGCCGGATTCAGGCTGTCAGAGAGGAGAAGAGGTGTGTTGGCTAGGGCAGGATGGTGGTGGTATATATATCAACATGGGGCCAGTCGAGCCACCCACATTCTCTCCCTCGGTATTCCGCAAAAGGGGCAAACAGTATATATAACCGTATATAACTATCGACGAGCATAAGGGAAGCAATAACTTGGTTCGTCCGTCCGCTCGTGCTGGCGCCCACCGATACAGATGTTGTACACTTGGTAGATATATCACTGCCGTCAACGCAGCCCACGAAGATGACTGACACCGGCTCCAATGGACTCGAGACAACCGAAGAATCCTGCATCACTGCCCCGTCTCTCTGATTATAAATACACACACACACAGAGAGAGAGAGCGTGTGTGAAAGGGAAACCTGCGATGGTTCTTCTTCCTCCGGCTCCCCCCTACCAGCAACCGGGAAGTAAAAAAAAAAAAAAATTAAAGCCCTGCGCCGAGGGGCAAATCCGACTGCTGACAAATTGACCGGCTTGGATGGATTTCTCTAGCCATTTTATCCGTGTTTTTATTTATATTGTCTATCTCTCAGCGGGTTAATGTTAGCATGGCTGAAGGATCTTGGGGGGTTGATGGGAGTTCTTTGAAGCCCACCGGGTGGCCATCCAGGCAGCCAGAGAGAGATAGACACAGTAGAAGCTAGAAGCTCTTCTCGAGAGATACAGACAGCGTCTAGACGGGTTGATGAAGTCGTGTAGTCGCGTGGTTGTTGGTCTTTTTGCTTGTAGTTGAAGTTGATGAAGTTGATGAAAATCGCAACATCTCGAATATCGACCAAAAAAAAAAAAAAAAAAAAAAAAAACCACCAACAGGGAGAAACAGTGACAAGCATATAGAAACAACGACGCATAGTGAGAGGCTATGATATCTTGACCGTACTGACTGGACTCTGGAAATAATCACGTTGCTAACGTCCAACGGCATGTTCGTGGAGGTTGTCGCCCGCAATGTACCATCTCGCAAAGTCGCTGTATCAGTACGTAACAAGCAAAGAAGGTCGGTTATATTGACTGCTGTTGACTATCGTTGCAAGGAGAACTTTCTGGCTGACTGTATGTGAACGATAGAATACTCCATCCTGCTGCTCGGCCTCGATAACGCTGGCAAGACGACGCTTCTCTCGCAGATAAAGGCGCTCTTCATCCCGGCCGCAGACGGGCAGACCCAGCAGGTCCCTGCAAAGACGGTGCCTACTGTGGGCCAGAATGTCTCTACAATCTCGCTGCCGGACATGTACCTGAAGATATGGGACATTGGCGGGCAGATATCAATGCGCGGCCTCTGGCAGAGCTACTACTCCAGCTGCCATGCCATCGTCTTCGTCGTCGACAGCGCCGATGTGGGCGACGACCCGGATGTCTCTGACCTCAGCCCGTCGTCTACCCTGGGCGGAGACGGAGTAGAGCCTGCTGGCAGTGAAGGGGACGACAGTGGTGGCGCGCTGGCGGGACGGATAGAGACTATTGACCGAGCTGCTGGCCGGTTTGGCCGGCTAGACGAGTGCCGCCAGGTTCTCGAGTCCGTCCTTCGACACGCTGACACGGCTGGTGTGCCCATCCTCGTCCTCGCCAACAAGCAGGACAGAGAGGACTGCGTCGAGGTTGTCCGGATCAAGGAGGGCCTCGTCCGCAAGGTCTTCGAGGGACAGGAAGGGGGCGGCGTGCGAGACAGCAGAGTGCTCCCCGTCAGTGCCTTGACGGGCGCCGGTGTCCAGGAGGCCGTCGACTGGATCAGGAGCCGAGTAAAGTGGAATAAAGAGGGCAGGCCGCCGGTCATGAGATAAGACCTGTCAGGCCAGAATACTCGTATCTGGGATGGTGAATTTGACTGCATATACCCAGCGCTCTGTTTTATCTATCTTGACTTTATTATCATCATTATTCTTTATATTTTAAATATATATATATATATTCGCTGAATTCAATATGTTCCATATACTCCCTTATGACAAGATGAAACAGGGTATCACTATAAAAGTCGTTGGACATCATTAAAAAAGAAAAAGCTATACACTTCAGCTACTCATATCATCTCCTGCCAGGTTTCATTGCGTCTCGAGTGCCTGGAACTGCTCATAGAACGGCGAGGATCAAGAAGCTGGTTGCCTTCGCCGACCGGTTTCTTCGGCCAGTCCCTCGCAATGTCGATGCCGCTGCGAGGCATCCACAGCTCAAGGAAGACGTATAGCAAAAAGTCGATGACGACACAGAGGCAGAACAGCTTCCCGGCCCAGATACCGCAGCCATAGTACCGCTTCAGCCGGTCGATCAGCGCAAAGCTGTGTTCCCGTCTGCGGGACCCGGTCCAGCTCTCCTTGGGGCAATTGCCGTAGAATTCTTCCTCGCTGATGGCACCGCAGATTCCATCGTAGACACGCTCTGTGCGCCGCGCGACGTCTGTCCACGAATACATCATCCGCACCTGATCGTGGAACCTCTCGGTGCGCACCTTGTTCGAACGCAGAGCAGCAATGGCCTTCCCCGTCGCCTGCACGAGATCGTCCTCTTCCGGCTTCGCAAAAGTTGTCATATGCTGCGGGAGAACCTCGGGGATGCCGCCCACGCGGGTGCAAACGATATAGAGTCCGCAGCTGGCTGCCTCAACTATGACGGTGCCAAAGGCCTCTGTCAGGCTGGGATGGAGGTATATATGACCCTTGACCATCACATCGCGCACATCTTCGTGCTTGATCGGACCCAGCAGCTCTACTTTATCCTGAAGCACTTTTCTCTCCAACATCTGCTCCAGGTCGATGGCCTTTGGCCCCGACCCGCCGATGATAAAACGCACGTTCTTGTTGAGCGCAAGAATTCTGGGTATGGCTGCTATCAGCAGGTCTGTTCCTTTGTTGTAGAACAGGCGTGATATCACCACTATAGTGATCGTATCGTCCGGCCCCAGCAGCCGCGGCCCTGGCATCCTGTGTGGTAAGGACCGGTTTAAAGAACTATTCACCGACCCAGCGTACGACGGCGGCCGGAAGTTTTCTGCCACCAGTGCGTTGGGGATTACGGAGACCATCATGGGGTCGAGTGACGCTCTCAGCACGGTGTTTTCCTTGCTACAGGCCGCTTATTAGCCCATCTGGAAAGTAGGCAGATAAAGATAATTCTCTCTTACCAGGTATGGCTGACGCATATGACGTGGTCCACATCGCTTAAGGTGAATTTGAGTAGCTTGTTTGTGAGGATCGAGCTGGCGTCTGCAAATCCAAACAGGGAGTGGTCGGTGAAGACGGTACGGAGTCCCATTGTTCGGGCGTGGAGGATGGCTTCATGACAGAAACAGCTCAAGCTGCCGTGCCCATGCACAACCTCTATCTGCTCACGAATCATAATGTTCCTGAAGATGGGGAAGAAGGAAAAGACGGTTGGCATGGCAGATTCGCGGTAAATGACGAAGAAGGGGACATGGTAGACCTTGAGACCGTTCGTCAGATAACGCACACCGGTCCGGCCTTTGTACGCATGCGTCACGATTATCACTTTGTGTCCGCGATCAATGAGTTTCTACATCTCTCCAGGTTCATTAGACATAATACTGGTTCAATGGTGAGGTTTGTTGCATGGCTGCGGATTCCAAGCTCCCAACTCACCGAGGACACTTGATATATATGGCTTTCCACTCCGCCTACCAGTCTCGTTAGTTTATGAAACCAACTTGAATCTCTCAACTTCCAATGGCCATACCCGGCTGAGGGAAGAAAAAGTCGCTTATCATCCTGCCATCTAGTCAGCATCCGTGTACGCTTGAAGGTATAGCGAATTCACAAACGCACGCAATATTATACGGCATCTTGCAGACAGAGAAAGCCCACGGAGTGCGAGACCCATGTGAAAGGGCCTATCCGTGCTTATAAACAGTGTCATGAAGCCCAACGGCGCCTTTTCAATTCATTCTCCTTAAGTTCTTCTATAATGTTTCCAATCTTGGGCTTTTTGGATGTTTTTGATTTGAGTCACGTGGTATAAATTACGTGATATACTTGAGGCTAAAAAGCAGGAAAAGAAAAAGAAAAAATCCAGACAACGGAGAGAGAAAAGGATGAGAAAGAGAGCGTTAGCTCCAAGGTAGCCCATTGTCAGCGGGCGTGATCCTCTGCGGCTTCCACTATTATAGGAGGAGATGGCAGATATCGCCAACCACAGCCGTGCGTCGCACCGAACTGAAGATTCATCGACAGTGAGCCGCAAACGGAAGCGCAATGAAGGCAGCTCGGATAGGTCGCAGAGTGCCCAAAATAATAGCAAGAAGAAGAGTTCTGCTGCCAGTTCGTCTCGGGAAAGGCCAGCAGGCGGCTCGTCCAGCTCAAAGGCAGATTTCGAAGCCCAAGCGCAGCTCGACGGGCTTGTCCAGGGTACAAGTCCTGCGGAGGGTGAGGCAGCGCCGGGGATGGAATACAAGCCTGATGGGAGAAAAACGAAGAAAGGCAGTAGAGACGTGGCAGGCGGATCTGATCAGCCGTCTCGAAGGGATGAAGTTCGAAGAACAACATCCGAGCGGGAGTCCGGCGATTCAAGCATCAAACGAAAAGTGACCACAAGGAAAAAGGAGAAAGGGAGTCCTGCCATACCAGCCACCAACGGCGCCGATGGAGAGACTACAAGGCATAAGAAGATCATGTCAAAGTATGAGAAGTCGAAACGGAGCGTAACCGGCCATGCTTTACCTAACTTAAAGGAAAATAAGGCGGAGCCTATAGTAGATGAGATTCATGGTCTGGTGCCATTGCCTCAGCCTGCCCTTGCGCCGACTGAACCGGAGAGACCATCTTATACTACACTTCCTCCATGGCTGGCGGCTCCCTCTACGGCCTCTGCAGGTCATCCCTCAAGCTTCTCAGATTTGGGAATTGGGGACAGTTTGGTTGATGCTCTAAAGGCCAAGGGATTCACAGAGGCATTGCCAGTGCAGTCAGCTGTAATACCCCTACTTTCCAAGAGCTCAACACGATACCCGGGGGATGTTTGTGTCTCAGCTGCCACCGGGTCCGGTAAGACTCTGGCGTACGTCCTCCCCCTTTTCTCAGGCCTGGAGCGTCTCCCCGTTGCGAGGCTGCGGGCAGTGATTATTGTCCCCACAAGAGAGTTGGTGAAGCAGGTTCGTGACGCGTGCGAACTCTGCTCGGGCGGCTCGGGACTTCGAATTGGCACGGCCGTGGGTTCATCTGCTCTCAAGGACGAACAAACCCAGATAATGGAGCAAAATCGGGCGTATAAACCGGATAGCTGGACTAGTGGCGGTAATGGTAGCAACAAGATGACTGCGGAAGAATGGGCGTCTTTCAGCCTGACGGACTACGTCGCTGAAGTGGAGGAATACAGCAAGACCCTGCCCGACCATGTCATCGAGTCGTCGCCCTGTGTTGATATATTAATATGCACTCCGGGGAGACTGGTTGACCACATCCGGTCGACCAAAGGTTTCACATTAGAATCCCTTGAGTGGCTAGTCATCGACGAAGCTGATCGGCTACTCAACGAGAGCTTTCAAGAGTGGGTTGATATAGTTCTTCCCGCATTGGATGGTGTGGAAAAATCTACTTGCAGCGGCCCATTATATCAGCTAACGAAGGGAATAAGCTGCCCTGTAGAGCCTCGATGGCCCCAGAAGGTCGTACTAAGCGCTACTATGACCCGGGATATAACCAAACTCAACTCCCTGAGGCTACAAAATCCAAAGCTGGTGACGGTTGATGCGGCAGAAAAGGGCAACGCTGGATTAACGGGCCAGGATAGTAATTTCGCATTACCCTCCCTACTGGATGAAAGTTCGATACTTGTCGGTGATGGATCTGAGAAACCTCTATATCTCCTTAAGCTGGTAAGGTCATCTATCGGCATGGTAGTCGACCAGAAGGCCGGGACCAAAAACAGACGGATGTCAATCTCCACTTCGTCAAGTGACTCTAGTGACACAACTGATTCATCAGACGATGTCGCCTTATCATCTTCATCCTCATCCTCACCAGGAAATGACTCGTCAGACTCGGATTCGGATTCTCAATCGTCAGTGAGCAGCCATTCATCCACCTCGAACAAACAAAGCACATTCCAACCTTCGGTCCTTATATTCACGAAATCATCAGAGGCTGCATCACGACTCTCACGCCTGCTTACTCTTATACACCCCTATCTTGACGGCAAAATTGGAACTCTCATTAAATCTAACAAATCGAGCACCTCTCGGAGGGCGATATCAGCCTATAAAAGGGGGAAGATACGAATAATCATTGCAACAGACCGTGCTTCTCGTGGCTTGGATCTCCCTCTCCTGGATAATGTCATTAACTATGATGTTCCTAACAGCTTGACTACCTATGTCCACCGAGTTGGCCGTACTGCAAGAGCAGGCCGACCCGGCACTGCATGGACTCTAGTAACTCATAGCGAAGGCAGGTGGTTTAAGAACGAGATCAGCAGGGGCAATGTGAACAGGGCTCCTGGGAAGACAATCAGGCGAGTAGCTCTCAAACTAGACGACAGAGACCGGTCAGAGCTGCAGGAGAGATATGGGAAGGCTCTCAAACAGTTAGAGGCCGAGGTAGCAGGCCAGGGGAAAACGATAGACAAACCAAAGGCTAGCTAGAATTGCCAACAGATGAACTGTTATCGCCTCGATAGAATGTTCTGAGCATATAATACAATTTCCTCTGCAGTCCTACATTCTTGGGTCCTTGCAGGATAGAACTTGATGTAGAAAAAGAAGTAGACATCATCCCATGAGCTGGAGCTGGTCATCCGGCGGCCATCGGACCTGAGCAAAGGTCAGACATCGTTTTATGCTCTGGAGAAACTTGCGCGTAATCTCATCGCTCATGATATGAGCCTGCCCTTTGCCTCCTTCATGGAGCTTCTCCCGAGCAGATCGTTCGTGGATACCAACCATAGTAACGCCAATAGGCCAGGCCCTAGATGCAGAAATGGTCAGTTAAAGACAGGTAGCAGACAGAAGTGAAGCTAACAACAGGCATACGTACGCTTTTCCGATGCTCAAAGTAAGATATCCGTCGTTGGCATCGACATATCGACGGTTTTGGGCATTCCGCACGATGTCGACGACAGGCTCAAGGATGCCATCCTCTATATCTCCATTCTCGAACTTCTTGAACAGAGGACGCATGTTCTCTCGCGACTGCACCATGGCATTGTAAGCCTGTTTCCCCTGGAATGTCTGCTTGACGGCGCTGTCTCGCTGTGCCAGGGCAACCTCCCACTCCCGGAGGACGAGGGTGAAGTATGAAGCCAGCTGCCTGAACAGATACCGTTTCCCTTCCTCGTCCGCCGGCAGTTTGTCTGGAACCTTCATCTCTGACTCGGGCACCAGCTCTAAGGTGGTGGGAATCGGCCCATCAGTGAGCTTCTTCTGAGGGTTGGACGCTTGCTCAACGAGACGTCTGTATCTCTTCAGTCTTCCCCTGTGGCTCTCTCCAAAGACCCGCGCCGGCTCCCCCAGCCCTCGCAGTTTAGCGATCAGCTCGTCGTCGTCCAGGTCTCCACCGGCCTCAGCAGCAGTCTCGTCCTTCTCGCTGCTGGGTTCTTCGGTCAGTCCCAGGCGTTTGCGGCGCTCCCTTTCTCTCTCCTCCTGCTCAGCCTCTCGTCGTGCCTTTGACTCTTCGGCCAGCCGCCTTCGTTTCTCCTCTCGCCGGCGGTTCTGCTCTGCTTCTTCTTCGTCTCGTTTCCGTTTCAGCTTAGCTCGCTCTTCTCGTTCTCGCTGTACTTTCTCATGCTCTGCATTGTAGGCTGCAACACGCGCTGCCTCGATGTCTGACCGTTTGGTGTACTTCTTCTCCGAGGCGTCTGGCTTGGCCTTGGATATCTCCTTGGACATAAGAGAGGCGAAGTCCATGGCGTAGTGTCTGGTATCAGCCCAAATGAAGTGCTTGCTTGTGTATATGTCAACTTGAGTGTTTGGTTGTTGGTGGTCGTTGGTCGTTTTTGGCTGCGGCGAGCTTCTTTTTTTTTTTTTTTCCAGCCATAAGCCATAACTAAACTGCCATGCATTAAAGATCGAAACCAACTCTGCAGACTCGACTTAGTTATGCCTCTAGAGGTCTGATACGCCCTCAGCTGTTACTGATTTACCTCGTATGTATATATAATCCGGCTTCACCGATCGTGGACAGCTGCTAACAGCCCTGCCAGCCTATATCGACCGCGTCGTTCTCTTGTCCCGGCTACATATTAAGAACGACGCTGGTAGCATCGTCGGAAGGGACATAGTATAGTTGCGAGGTTGAATAATTCCGACGAGTGTCTACCACGCTGGCGCAAGGTTGCCGGGCTATAGATACATCAGCCAGATCCTGGAACCATGGCTTCGGTAGATGAAGCCCTCTCGATTGATCGCGAGAAGACGACTCCTTTCCACCTGAAGCTATTCTACCGTCAGAACTCGTTCCATTCACTGTCAGACTTTACTGTTCCTTCTGTGCCGTCTACGCTAGAGACTTCGACTGCCGCCGGCGCTCCGCTTCCCCCCCATCTCCAGATATACACCTGGCAGTCATGCTCCCTCCGTGAGCTTGCGCACCTACTCACGTCGACATTACCGACATTACTTCCTGATCCGGCTGTGGGAACAAGACTGAGCTTCCGGTTAGTCTACCCTGACACAAGAAGCCAGGCTGGGGCCAGACCGGGAGATGGTGGAGACGGGCGTGGAAAATACACAAGCAAGGACATCGGGAGCGTGATTGTGAGGCCCAAGAAAGGTCAGAGTGGCGGTGGTGCCGGCGAAGGCACGAGTGAAGGGATATCACTTGGTGGAGACGAGGCGGATAAGGTGCTGCACGACGCTCGGTTCGTCATAGGCGACTACATTGACTGTGCCATCCTACCACCGCTCGCTGATGGCTCCGTGGCGCCTTCATTGCCGTCTCGAGGACCGCCTAGTTCCTCGATAGGAGGAGGCATGAGAGCCTTTGGAGGAGGACCATTCTCGCGGGACGCCAGCTTTTCATCAAGATCTAGACACGGCCCAGGCTCTTCTGCGAGGAGCGGCGGCATGTCTGGTCCGAACCCGGCAAGCGTCCCCAGCGGAGAGTGGAGGCGCGGTGAGAGAATACCGGATGCTGGCGGGCGTGCCTACGGCCGAGGAGCAAGGGATGGGGGGCGGTCATACTGATCGAAATGCTGTCTATGCTTACTTCTCTAGCAAATGAGGTTATAACGTAACATTCATGCAAGATAATGCGAATTTATGACTACGAATCGACAACATGCGTATCTCTTCAATCACAGGCATGGCAAGGATAATGGCCGGTAGAGTCGCAATGTTAATGACTGGCAGTTGATAACGGTATATATGGAGTGCTTCATCCAAAAGTGGAAGAGGAAGACAAAATTCCCATACTACTCTGGTTGGATATCAATGTTTATGTATTGTACAGACGCGATCCTGCCCAGCACAGGACAGTCGAAAGCTGTTAGATAAAGCTAATGGCAGAACAGTACCGGGACGCTGGACTGGTCTGTTTGCTACCCGCCCGAAAGTACATGCGGGATAACAATGTGCAGATAACCCCGCCGTCACGATGCATGCTCATCAACCGGCTCACCATTCCGCTATTGTGTCGCCTCTTCGTTTCCCTCTGAAGTCATATTTACCCTGCAACCAATATAAGTTAGCCTCGTATTTTCTATATACAATAAGGAACAGTAGCCCAAGCTGTTTCGCAGCCACTCACGTCTGTCTTGTATGCAATATAGCCTATGATCCCGGGAACGACGGCCATGTAGCAGAAGGAGATCCAGGCGGTGCGAGGCGTCCACCTGAAATACTTGTAGCGGTTCTTGTGCGTGTCTGGAGGGAAGGGTCAGCATATATGTCGCAGTAAAACAACCCGCAGGCCAACTTCGAGGTCACTGGAGATGTTCAAGCCGCCGTGGCGAGTGCTCACCATAGTACTTCTGCAGCGCAGGGTCAAGATGAATATCTAGCATTGGGTCAGCCAACTAGTCTCAAAACAGATAGAATATCACTCACTCGACGGGCCGGCCATGGTTTTGCTCTTTGTCTTTGCTCTCGTCGTCTTTCGTCTTTCTTCGTCTCTGACGTCTTGCGGTCGATGTTTTTTTTAATGGTCTTGGCGTCTTTAGACGCTAGAAGCGCATAAGCGGCGGCTAGTTGTTTTGATGCTCTAAAAAATTATATCAAATTGTTATTCTTATTATTATTATCATCATCAAGAATATAAAGGAGATGTCGCTCTACTTTGATGCCGTGTCAGTTCTCAGCGGCCCATCGAACGCTGGCTCTCTCAAGTCGAGAGTGTACAATGGCAAGTGGAAATCTCCTCCGGCTCAGATTTACGCCCTGATAGTCGAGGTCGCAAAGTACAACGCTTGCATCAAGGAGGTTATAGACACAGCGGGCATCCTAGCCCACGAACCAAAGGTCAGCCAGGAGGCCTTATTATCTACGTAGCAGTCACTTTGATATAGAGCAGGAGGGCTAACGTGGTGGAACAAGGTGATGTGAAGCAGCTCACGCCCATCCTGTCGCTTCTTCTCGTACACGACTTTCTGCTCTCGAAGCGAGGCATCGCAGCGCCCTCAAACCACCCTCTGCGTCTGGCTGTTGAGCGCCACAAGTCTCGTCTCAATGCAGAGCTCACAAGGCTGCGGGTTCGTCGAGGATGCGCGTCGAAGGAGGGGCTGAAGAAGCGGCTGCTACAAGACCAACAAGCGGCCCAGGTCTTCTCGCCGAGGTGGATACGCATAAACAATGCGCTCACGACGTTGATGCAGGAGTTAGAGAGCACATTTGCTTCTTATACGGCTGTTGACTCCCTATCTGAGCTTGCTGCGGCTGCGGGCCAGAAGAAATACTGCTTGGATGAACATGTTCCTGACCTCCTGGCCGTCGACCGAGACATCGACATTACTTCTACTCTTTCCTACAAAGAGGGACGGCTTATACTCCAGGACAAGGCATCCTGTTTCCCCGCCTATCTACTCCTTGGCGACCATCCAGGCCGGTGGGAAGGGGACCTCGTCGATGGCTGTGCCGCTCCAGGAAACAAGACTACCCACCTGGCCTCCTTGTTATCTTCTTCAAGGGTCCCACAGAGGAGTCGAGTATTCTCACTGGATGCATCTCCCTCTCGATCCAAGATCCTGCAGGAAATGGTGAAGAAGGCCGGCGTGGGGGAGAGGGTGACGGTCTTGCCGGGACAGGACTTTCTGGCACTGGACCCGGAAGACAGGCGGTTTCGGCAAGTTACTGGCCTCCTGCTGGATCCCAGCTGTTCTGGAAGTGGGATCACTAAGCGTGAGGATGTTCCCCAGCTCATCCTGCCTAAGTCAAAGTCCGAACTTGGGTCTACACGTAGCAGCAAGGGGTCAAAGAACCGGAAGAGAAAGCGAGAAAGCCCCCCAGCTCCCTCTTCCGCCGCCTCTCCGCCGGACGGCGCTGACGAGAGCGCACGCCTAGCCAAACTTGCTAACCTCCAGAGCCAGATCGTCGAGCATGCCTTTGGATTCCCTGCAGCAACCAGGGTCACGTACAGTACCTGCTCGATCCACCAGGAGGAGAATGAAGGCGTCGTTGCGCGCGTGCTGGCATCGTCTGCTGCCCGGCGCCGTGGCTGGAGACTCGAGCCGAGAACGGAGCAGGCAAAGGGACTTCAAAAGTGGCATCACCGTGGCATGCAGTCGCCTCCCAGCGCCTCAGACAGCGGGCCATCACTATCCGCTGAAGAGGCAGAAGCTTGTATTCGTTGTTGGCCTACGGGAGATGAGGGAACGGGGGGCTTCTTTGTAGCTATCTTTGTACGTGATGCAGGAGAAGAAGAGAGGGATGAGAATGAAGAAGAGGAAGAAGGATGTGACGATGAGGCCTGGGAAGGGTTCAGCTCTAGCTAGGATGCTGCTTGTATATTTAATGTCTCTTCCTCCCCTGTTGAAATATATAACAGCCTTGCATGAAGACAATATTTTTCCAGCGTTTACAGAAAACACGAATAAAGTACTGTCAAATATAACAAGTCTCTCTGCTGCCAATTAGTGCGGGCTCGCCTTTTTGAATGGCAGATTCTGACAAGCACTTACGGAGACAACATCTTATATGCTGGCCATCTTCCACGCTCCGGCCAACTTCTATATATCACTACTTTTACATTCTACTATTTATCTCTGCGGCCAGATATCCTCATACCCAAAATGAGTGCAGACGACTCGTTTACTCTCGCGATGCAGCCACCGGGCCCTCGGATCGCTCGAGCTGACCAGCAGCAGCGCAAACACTCCATCTTCCGCGACGGCCTTCATGTCCGGATAGCAGTCTTCGTCGACGAGCAGCGGTGTGCGGCAGAGAACGAAGTCGACGCCGACGACGAGCGTAGCTGGCACTGGGTCGCATACGCTGGTCCAGGTAGAGTGCCAGTAGGCGTTGTGCGTCTTGTCCCGCCTCCCCATGAGGGCCATCAGCATGAAGGTGGAGAAGGAGGGGAAGAAGAAGAAGAGCATGAGAGAAGACCGTTTATCAAGATCGGCCGGCTTGCTGTTCTTCCAGCGTATCGAGGCAAGGGACTCGCGCGGCTGCTGGTCGACACGGCGCTGGGATGGGCGGCGGAGCATGCGGTGGAGGTCGGGGCTGGATGGGACGGCCTGGTGCTGATACATGCGCAGACGGACGTCGAGGCGATGTACGCTCGTCTGGGATTCAAGACCGACGAGAGCATGGGACGGTGGGTGGAAGAAGGCATTCCTCACGTTGGGATGTGGAAGAAGCTGTGAATGTTCTACGGTCTCTTACTGTCTCAACAGCGTCTACGGGGTGGCATAGATTTAGAGGCTAAACGGAAAGATTGCTTGGAACTCCAACACCGGAGATGGCCCTTGTAAAAGACACAGAAAGATGAAATGATAAAAACAGAGAGAAAATCTATATGCATGCGGAGGACCGGGGAACCTCGTTCAGACAGCCGTTAAAACCAAAGCAAGGGGCTAAACAAACACATAGTCATATCCTGGATGGAAGCCGTGAGGAGAGTAACGAGAGAGAAAGAAGCAGACGGCCCTAACGAGCGTGAAATATGGCTACACTGGGTGAATTGAGCCTGGCTTTTTATTTGTTTCTGTTGGAAACCTCAGCAAGGGGTATCAAAAATCGAGTAAACAAAGAGAGAAAATAGAGAGGAACGAGGACGATAGATGGCTAGAAGGTGCTCCAGCTCCAGTCTCTGGGAACACTGCTGGCAATCATACCGTCCTGGTGCTCGATGGAGGGAGAGCCAGCGTCTCCGACGCTGAGCCGGTCTGCCTCGATGGCCCACCCCCGGCTGCGTTCGGGAGCGTCCAGGTTGGCGAGCAGGTTGTGCTGGATCTGGTTGAGCTTGTCGGTACGAGCCTGCTCCCAGCGGCGGTAGGCCGCCCAGCAGAGGTCACAACTGCGCGAGGGGATGCCGTCTGGGTGGAATCTGGCGTTCTGGTCGAGCGGGATGGTGTAGGGCGTGTGTGAGGAGCAAAAGACATGGCCGCAGTGCCGGCAGTGATGGCGGCGGACGAAGATGCCAAAGAACGACTTGCACACCGGCGAGTCGCACGAGGGAGACGCCGAGTCGGCCTGCCACAGTCAGTATCAACAGACGAATGTGTGTATATATATATATAGATATACCTTCCAGTGCTCCCTGGTGGGAGAGCCGGTGACCTCGCCCAGGTTCTGATCCCGCAGCCACTCATCCTGGGCAAGCCTGCTGACGCCGCTGCGAGTGCTGTCGACGGTCGACCGGCGGGACAGCGGCTCAGTCGGTGCCGTCGTGGTATCCAGCCCGTCGACAGAGCCGTGGACGCTGCGAGGCGGCGTGAGAGGCGACGGCTTGGGCGCCCGCTCGGTTCGACGCAGCGCTGCGGGGACGTACAGAGGTGACTTGGGCGGCCGCAGCTGGCGCGACTGGCTTTGGATCTGCTGCAGCTGAGCGTTCATCAATCGCGGCGACGAGGGCGAGTTGTTGGTGGGCGTCGCTGAGGCCGAGCTGGCGGGTGACGGATTCCCATCTGGAGGAGAGCCTGCGCCAGCACTGTCGGTGGGAACTTGCATGGAGCTGTCTTCGCCTTTTTCTGTTTCTTCTTCTGTTTCTTCTTCTTCTTCTTCTTCTTCTTCCTCTGCTTCTTCCTTGCTGTGTTTCTTGATGTGAAAAGGGAGAAAAAAGCTCGTATTATTCCCCAGACTGTGTATGGTACGGAACAGGAATTACATGACAGTACCGGCATAGATAGGATACATCCCCACACGCAAGTGTGTAATGACAGTACGAGGTAACATGTATACGCACCCCAGACTTAAAAAAGCAATATCAAAATTACATCATAGATTGATAGAGAAGTAAACAGTAAATATTTTATATAAAGAAGCTGAATAAATGGTAGATGCAGGCTAAGAGATGAAGGCTCGCCGGGCGTTGCGTGCCCGCTGGCTGGAGTGAGCTTCGAGCTTGACGGCAACGAAGATGGCCTCCATCTTGCCGGCGTTGGGGTCGGAGGGAGGCAGCGGATGGACTCGCAGGCGCCATTGGCCCTTGTCGACAACCCACTGGCGGCTCCTCTCGCTGCCATCGACCCTGCGGCGCTTGCGAGGCAGCTGCTGGTTCGGCTGGACCGCCGTCGGCGCCTGCAGCCGGGAGTAGAGCGCGGACGGGGTCAGCGGCGAGATGTTGCCTTCGACGGGCGTGTGGGAAGCGCCAGCGTAGGCTGGCGGTACCTCCATCCTCCCGGGAGCATCGTTCGTCTGTTGGAACGTGCTGATGATGTTGTTGTTGCTGCTGCTGCAGATGTTATTGTTGTTGCTGTTGATGTTGCTGCTGTCCTGGCTGGCATGGCTGGGGAAAGGCTCGCCGTCGAGAGTGATATCGGTGCTTGCGTCGATGTGTATCTTGATCCGGTCTCCGCTCAGGGCAGAGTTGCCGGCAGTGGTGCTGCCGTCCTTGTTACCGGACATCATGAGCAGGCCCAGCGGTGCGTTCGTGGGCAGGTTCATCTTGTTGGCAACCACCTGGCAGAGGCTGTTGACCCGGGCCTTGGTCAGTCCGTGCAGTTCTGCTCGCATCGAGGCCAGGTCAACCAGGGTGCTGCCTCCACCGATCTCGATGATCAGCTCGCAGTGGTCCTCGTCCACAAACGGCCGGGCATAATGCACCCATCCGCCAGTGCTTCCCCCTCCATTGCTGTTATTGCTATCGTTACTGGTGCCGCTCGACGGCCCATCGTGGACAAAGGTGACGCCGGACGGACGGACATCCTCCAGACGCACGGTAATTTCAGACCGGCGCCGCTCCAGGTTGTAGCTGATGCTGTGGGGGATTAGCTTCTGCTCCAGCCCGCGCAGGTGGTAGTACCGGCAGTCACGCAGCAGACACGCCCGGTGCTCCTCGTCCCGGATGTGGACGGGATAGCCGCGCAGCAGGTGCAGCAGCTCGGCGAATATGTCTCCAGACCGGCTGCTGACGATGGGCGGCGTGATGGACGGCGGACGCAGGAGGCCCTCGCGCTCCAGGCCGGGGAATACCGCCGCCGGCGAGGCGAAGAAGACGGCAAAGCCGAGAGAGAAGAAGTTGGGCGAGTCTCCCGGGCTGGAGAAGATGTCTCGCGGGATCTGGAAGTGGCGGTCTCCGATCTGTATAAAGATCTCGCACTCGAACAGCTGGGCTATCAGCCGGGGCACTATGATGCATCCATCATCAGCACTGCACGTATATATACATCTTGCAAGGCGAAGAGTAAAGGGCCATACGGCTGTAGAACTGTGCATCGGCGAAGAGCTTGACAAAGTGGGCGCCGTCTTTCGGTCGTACGTAGTAACCTGCCGCCTGCTATTTAGCTCCCGTGTTCTCTAAGCAGCAGCACGCCAAACGCACCCTGAAGATGTCTGAGTATCTCATGGAAGGTCTCTGGGTCGCGGTCGATGTAGAGAGTCCTCACGCCGCCGTCCTGGCCGTTCTGCAGCTGGTCTTCGAAGAAGCGTGAAAAGTACGACGGTGCTCTAAGAATGTCAGCCCACGCCACCACAGAGAAGACGGTAGAGGAGACGAAGAAGACTCACCATCTGATGCGATCGAGGCGCCCGAGAGACGAAACAGCTGCGATCCGATCTGGATGGGGAACACCTTTTCGTGCGGCAAGATGGCTGCCTCTCCCTTGGGCGGCTCAGACAGCGGCGGCACGCCGGTTGAGGACATCGAGGCTCGCTGTGGGAACGTCTATCTGGCTGGGCCTATCTAGCGGCTGTCACGCCTGCGACGAGCGGCCGTCGATTCATCTGTTGCTCTCGTTGTTCGTTGTGGCTGTCGGTTGTGTTGGCGAGAAGTTCGACGTTGACATTTTGGTAGATTTTCTCTTGGTCACATCGCCAAAATACAGATAGACTATATACAATACGATATAATATAGATACATAGATAAATAGATACGTTGCTGGTCTGTAGACTATCGAGGAATAACATCACAGCTGCCCTCGAGCTGGACGATGAGGTCGGCGGCCTTCCTGTAGGCGGCTGGTCAGGGCGGTATGTGTTTTTATATTCAAAGGCAGCTATCCATGAACAGGTCCAATCGTGGGTGGAATGGATACCTCTCGAAGCAGAACACAGGTCGGTATAACTTGGCACGGCTTCTGGAGATTTCCTTATAGGACTTCTTGTATATGAACGCCTGTTGGCTGAATCAGAGAGCCACGTCCGGTCGTTGGCAAAGATCTATGTATACTGTCAAGTTTATCTTAACCCTCTTATCCGCGCGAGTAGAAGACCTGGGCTCTCTGACGTTCTGTACAACAATTCCGTGCTCGTTTCCTTCGAGTTCAAAACCTGACTTTCTTATCCTTTCCGCAGCCTTGTTCCGGGTGGCTGTTTCTCCAAACACAATCGCTAAGAACGAGGGATTGCACTGCACGATTGACTGAGGGCGTGTTTCGTCCAAATCAAGAGTGTCTACCACATGGAAAAGTAGCATCGTTAGGGTCGCTTTGCGTCTTATAGATTTAGGAATGGCAACATATAGGGCTCGATTGGAAGCAGTAAGTCACGCTCTGTCGTTCTTGTCTAGTCGCAGGATCTGAGGGCGACGTGAAGTTCTGGAGCGCTGCGGCTTTTGATTGACAGAGTCGACCTTGTTCTTCTGGATCGTTTGCCCTTCGTAGGCTGCCTTTCGTGTGTGGATTTCATGGTTGCGACTCGGCCACGCCGTGTCTATCGACTGACTTAGCAGCTATTTACTCCGGTTTATTGTTCTTTTTTTGGAGGGACCGTTGACTTATGACTTTGCTTCTTCGCTGTTCTCTTTTTAATCGTTCTTTATTTTCCTTGAAGTTGAAGAAGTCGTTGATATGAGGTAGCTTTGAAGAACGCGATCGAGCTGCTTATTAAGCTAAAGGAAGTGCCCACGTAGTATTCCACGAGAGAGTAGGGAAGCGGTGCACAATCCCTATCGAGGGTCGACTCCTCTAAGAGTGACGGTTTCTGTACGCGATCTTTATCCCTTGTTTGCTCACTTCGCTAATACATATCAGTTGGCATAGAGATCATATTATATATCCTTCGGACAGACGAAAACTGGGGTAATGCTGATGAGTTTCGGCAAATCTTGAATATTCTGTCCAACGAGAGCCATCGTGCGGCGCGCATATACATTACTCTCCACAAACCAGCTATTCTTTAGCAGAGCTCAAATCACTTGCTAAGTTTACAACCATGTGTCAGCCCTGACTCCCGCTGGAAGCCAGGCTGCTGATCGGTGCCAACTGAACGCAAGAGTTGTTGATACCCTGGCTTCCAAGTACTAGGAAGGCCGAGTGGCTCTATTTTCATGGATAGAGTCCTTTCCAAACAAGGATTTATTATGGCAGCAAGTGTCTCCAAGATTGCAGCTTGGAGCTTCCGGAATACCCAATATAGCGGGTGTGGTACTGTTAGCCTCCCCAGATCGGGAGCAGTTCTGAGACGAAGAAATGGATTGCGATCTCGTTGGCTCTATTCTATGCAGGAATGGACAGTAATTTGGTATATCCTCTGGCCATTCTCACAGTGCAGGGCCTCCAAGTAACCCTGGTCAGAATGGTGACACAACTCGGGGTATCTCGGTACCTCTCGTTTGACTCTACTAGCCTGGACAGTGCTGTTCCTCCGGAGACTTTGCCTCTGGGCAACAGTCCCGCCTGGTTCTTCTTTTTTCTTCCCCCCCCCTTCTTCTCCGCTGCCAAGGGGGGGAAGCAAAATAATGAAAACTTCCGCCTGGGCTTGTCTCAAACGTACAGTTCTCCGCCCGTCTTGGAGTTTTGGCCCGCCAATGCTTGTCGGGATAGGTGTTATTGATGCCTTGCTGAGGGATAACTGACTGTATCTGCGCTAGCCAATACTAGATGTTGCAAGACGTCAAATAGGTTTGTGGCCTTCGTCTCATGCGAGGCTCCCTTTTTTTTCCCTGCAGAATTTCTTCGAGGAATAACTTCCAGGCAAATGTGTTGGGAAAAAAATTCGTCTTCACATGCTTGCTGTTTGGTGTTGGTTTTGCTCCCTTGGCCTGCAGCCTGCAATACTGGGACCCCTGCCTGCATAGCCGTTAAATACTTATATGGCTGGTCATATAACATACCATATATTGGGGAGAGAGAAAAAAAGGAGAAGCCCTCGGATACTTTGAAGCAGAAGGCCGCCCTCAAGTTTCTCTTGTGGGAGTATAAATTGGGCTGCTCTGCTGCAACAACAAATTATGCTGCTTATTCATTCCCTTATTCAGTCCTGACAATCTTTTTTAATTCTTTTTCTTTCCCCTTCTCACCCTATACATTCATTATGGGCTTTCTTACTGTACTTTATCTCTCACTCGCGGCTTTATCCGTCACCAATGCGGCACAGATAATGAGCGCCCCCAATGGCGCAGAGGTTGTTCCCAATGGCTACATTGTTGTCATGAAGGACGATACCTCGAAGCAGGATTTTGCTTCCCATCGTGTCTGGGTGTCTGGCATTCACCACAACATTACCCGGCGTGGCCTTGACGGCGAGGGTGTGAAGCAGACATATGATTTTGACAATCTGCGTGGATATAGCGGAATCTTTGACAAGGATACCATCAAGGATATATCTAATGACCCAAAGGTATATTTCCCATTTATATCTGCTGTGGCTTCTTGCTGATACTGAGTGACACTCAAGGTTGCTTTTGTCGAACCAGATGCTATCATCAGCCAGCATGTTGTCGTCCAGCAGCGTAAGGCTCCATGGGGACTCTCCCGCCTCTCCAACCGCAAGGGAGGGCGCAACTATGTCTTCGATAGCACCGCCGGCGCTGGTGTCTGGGCCTATGTCGTCGACTCAGGTGTGGATATTCGTCACGCTGAATTCCGGGGCCGTGCCGTCTGGGGCTCAAACCAAGTTGACAACCAGAATTCTGACGGAACAGGGCACGGTACTCATGTTGCTGGAACAATTGCCGGCAAGACCTATGGAATCGCAAAGAAGGCCAAGGTTATTGCTGTCAAAGTGCTCAATTCTGAGGGCAAAGGCCCAACTAGTGGAATCATTGCGGGCATCAACTGGAGCATCAACAACGCCCGTCAAAATGGCATGCTGCACAAATCCGTTATAAACATGTCCCTTGGAGGCTCATATAGTGCTGGTCTTAACCATGCCACCGCTCAGGCTATCAAGGCTGGAATATTCGTTTCGGTTTCAGCTGGTAACGACAATGTGGGTAATAATAACGGCATTTAGTGGGATAAGAAATCATTTCTGATTCGGTATATAACAACAGATCAACTCGAATAACAATTCCCCAGCCTCCGAAAAATCTGTCTGCACTATTGCTGCCAGTACGGAGGATGACGGCAAGGCCTCGTTTTCTAACTGGGGCCCAGCCGGTATGTATAACCCCTTTATCCAATGAATCACGCACCAACTAATGATATACACAAGTTGACCTCTACGCGCCCGGCCACAACATTCTTTCCGCCCGCCCTGGAGGTGGAAGCCAGGTTATGTCTGGAACTTCGATGGCCGCTCCCCACGCGTGCGGTGTCGCAGCCTACCTAATCGCGAAGGAAGGCATTCCGGGTAGCCGGGCTTGTCTTCGTCTTAAGCAGCTCAGCCAGCCTACGATTCACAACCCCGGCCCCGATACCACCCGCCGCCTCCTCTATAATGGCAGCGGTCGTTAAGCAGTTCGCGTTGTATTGGCATGCCCATTTTACTCTTCGTCACCCACAGGTGATGTTACTCTTCTTCTAGATTGCACATTCTGCTTTTCACAGCATATTACCTTTCTCTGCCGCTGTCGTAGTCACGACTACGGAACCCGCCAGCTCCTTTGAATATTTATAGTAATTGAAGGCAATTAATCCCATATTTCTCGTCTTAATTTTATTCCTTGTATCGCTGCGTGGACTTATAGCTAGTGATCCGTAAGATAACGAATAACATTATAACCAGATTTGATAGGATAATACGGCCTGTCCTAGTAGCACAATACTGGGAAACCGTTTCAAAGTCGCGCATTTGGATATCGCAGGGGTCGCCCGTCATTACGCCGATATTCACAGAGGCCTTTGACCCTCTCATCTGGTTAAGTGTATTACCAGCGGCTTTGAATGTTTTAAAGACCGTTTCCGGAAGAATGTGATGCTGGGGTCCATACCCTCTGCCTCAACGAGGCTGATACGCCGGGTCAAAGAGTCTATCTTCAAGAGCAGGAATGCCCGGTTATTGACATACGTGGCGCCATGAACTTCGCCATTAGAGTCGTAGGAGCGAGATAGGTTAAGATTTTCAGGGTCAAATTGTGTGCGAATATCTTTGGGATCCTTAAGGAGATTCCGCAGCTTCGAAGGCGAGGTGGGGCTTCCAGGGAATCTGTACGCAGAGCCCACAATCGCTATGCAGAATTTTGACTTGGACATGACGTTGGTGTTGAGTTATCAATATTAACTAGTTAACTCGGGCTACTTGTTTGAGATGATGGAAATGATAGAGCAGTAAACCGTAGACGATGGCTTAAACACGAATAAAACCTCAAATAACGATAGCCTCTAAACCACCGAGGCAGAGAAGAACGATAGTAATCTGTATAACATCGAGACCAGGCTTGTAGCTTGCGGTTCAGTTATTCGAGCTATGGCGAGGCGGCCTGGTGGTTTATCTGCCTGGCGACTTCTTCTAGTCAATCAACTAGGTTGCAGCACAGTAGTTATCCAACAACCAACTGCTATGCAGAGATACAAATGAAAAGTAATCTTGTATCAAGTTTATTCCATTATACCGTCTAAAAAGAGTTAACATGTTGCTAGAACTTGCAAAACTGCCCAGCTTCTGCCTCATGGCTGGCATTCTGGGGCTTTGCTTCAAGGCCTGTACTGGTCGTCGACTTCTAGAAATGCAAGTCTCGCAGGTGTAGCCCATATTTGCCTATCCCCAGTGGGGTCCCATCCTTGGGCTTGACGTTGCCTGTAGCAAGTGAAAGGTTTTGAAGGGCTATTATTATATCTCATGGAACCGTCACCAGTGACTTAGTGGCCAACGAGTAATTGGCGGGCCTCGTCTTTCAAATTCTCCATACTCGCATATTCACCCTGCCAGCACTTCCTGATTACTTTTCCGCAGAGTACATCATCCACATTTGGGAATGAGTCTGGTTCAGGCCAGCAGAGGTCAGGGTTCTCGGAGTTGAAGAAATAGTATTTATGGACACGCCAGGATGCAATCGAGTAGAGAACCCAGCCAATATGAAGTATCTCAACCTGAACATTCAAGCCATCGTTATCTGCGGAAGTAATATCGGTATTGGGTGGTAATAAAATGGATTGTCCGAAATCAGCAAGCTTAAGCTTCTCATCCAGGATTAAAATATTGCGGAGAGCAATATCATCCACAAATACTTTGCGAGAGTGGGCGTGTGCAAATGTGTCAATGAGACTTGATATCCAGTTGATTTTCAGGGAGTCCTCACGCTCTGCACAGGTATCTAGATAGGACTCAAGGTCTCCTTCTGCAAGGGCTAGCTCAATCCCATACTGAGATGTTTGAAAGTACGGAATAATCCCTTCATAGCTGCCCAGGCGTTCAAAGACTTGGATCTCATTCTCGAGTGTTTGCTGATTTATCTTGTTTATATATTCCATATCCTTGGGGTCATCAAAGGACCCAGGTGGATATTTCTTAGCTTTCTTAACAGCACGGCGTTCCCCCATCTTAAGGACAATCCCAGTCATACCATTTCCAATTATTGGGAGACCAATATAAGGATCATGGGAAAATGGAGAACGTTGAGTAGTGTGGAATTGTCCAGACGTGTTCGTGGGCTCTAGTTTGTCCGTTCGAGGTTGAGAGTTGAGAGTTGATATAGCTCCCGTTTCATTTGTTTGGAGGGTGTGGAGATTATCGAGCTGAGATTCTACAACATCCTAAGAGAATAATTTAGCAAGAGAAGACAGAGAGATGTCTATTAAGCTTACCTTCGACTCGTCCAACTCCTTAGTTATAGAAGGCCAAACGATATCATAGAACCAGGTACAGATTAATGGGAGTCTCATATCTGTGGCTAGCGAGTGTAGAAAGATGATACGGAGAAAAAAGGAAAAGGGAGAAGCATGTCTGGGGAGGAGCTTATATAGCTCCTGCTTACTTAAGCTAGGTTTCGCAGTACGCGTCGAATACGCTTACCGGCTCGTGACTGCGTTCTAGGGAAAAGGGATCTTAGCATAAGGAGTTTGATGCCATCACCAGACGGCTTATAGGTATCGCAGAGGGTTCAGAACTGATGCTCTCTTACGGGGTCCAACCCCTGACATTAGTACAGATAAGGCCACTTTTTAAGCCTATTTAACTACTAACTTAATACTCTCTTAATCGAATTAATTCTTTAGTAGTAGTGGGTATCTTAGCCCGAATAATATGCCCACCCTACGACCAGCTGCGCAATATTAAATATACCTCTTATCATTGGCTTGGGGTTAACAGTAACTACAAAAACCGCTCTACATAGTATAACCCAAAAGAGGAACAACGTACTCCATCAAGTTAGTAGTGCCAAGGTGGGCATCCCATACCGTTCAGTCAGCGGGAAACGGGCATCCAAGGAGCTAGGCGTCTTCTGAAGAGAACCAAGGTCTTATTTAAAATCAGCCACCCTCCTAATAATTCCTAATCATCCCAAATAGCATGCCTCAAGCTTCCTTCTACCCGCCACTATTTTTTAGGACTGTTACTCTTTTCGGCAGCCTGGACAGAGATGTAGGCGGTTTGTGCTTGATGCCTTGGAGGTAGGTTTAGGAGGATCAGGGCACCATGATGGGGGTGAGCGCTTTGCCGCTTTAGGACACATTTGGGGAGTTGGCTCTTTAGGGACATTGACGGTATGCTTGCACTTGGCGTAGAAAACTGGGGCAGGATTTTCCATGAAGCACATTTTGTAGATGAGTTTCCTAGCAACGTGAATTAGCTAGTTAAGCATAAAAGTGATTCAGAAAAAGTTAAAGTACCAGCTCAGTTATTATCAGTATGTAAATTGACTTTGTCAACTTGATCTTTGGCAGCTTGTGAATGATTTAAGTAGTTATGTAACTATAGAGCGAGATGCCGTGGCTGGGAGAGTGTATTTTGAACTTGGGTTTCCTTATGCTTCCATGTCCAAATTCGAACGTAGAACTTGGGCCTTTATATAGCTATGTCTCCTCGAAAGCCCTTAGCCAGGTATTTACCGTAGTTGCCAGGAGACCAGCACCCCGATCCAATTTATGCCTTGACAATCATCGCAGATAAGCTAGGATCAAGGATCCATTAGCCAATAGAGTAGAGTAAGTATAAAACGATAAGGCTGCCTTGACACATTTCCCCATTATCCCATTCATTCCTTCGCTTCCCCATTCATCCTTTCCCCCATTTCCCCATTTTCTCATTTTCCCATTTTTGCATTTTCGCATTTTCGCATTTTCAACATCGCAAACCTCGACCACCAGCCCAGCATAAAATAAGAAACTAATGCAAATGGCTCAGATTGGACCTACTGAGAAGGAATTTGCTTCCTTCGTTTCCAACCTCAGTAAGGAACTACGGAGATATCACGACCCACAATACAGACCAAACCTTCTCTATTTAAAACGAAATACTGTGCTATTGAGGGAATGCCCCAATGCTGCCGATAAATCTTCGACGACAAGAGGTCGAAAGATTGCCGCACATAGAAATATACGGGAAATGTACGAAAAACTGGACATTGAGTTGTATATTCTGTGCACGTCGCGCCTCCCCACAACAACACTGGCTTCCTTGAATGCAATTTGGATCAATAAACTTCAGCAATGGTGGAGTTTAATACCCAGAGTCACCGGACAAAGAAAAGTCGCTCTGGAGCTGTGCAAAGAGTTTGGTCTCTCAGGTCATGTTCAACAACGTAATACTCAAGCAGACAGTGGATTCGTCCCTGATATCACAAATCCCAATAGTCGGAGTGCTCGAACGGCATTTGAAACAAGCCAGATATCACCAGGAAATAACACGGCTGTTCCTCCTGAGCATATCGGTAATTTCCCCAAGTATCTATAGGATCCTTCAAGATGGCTTACTCGAAAATAGTGCACTTTGAACCCTCTGAATTCGTCGTCTTCCTCAACTCATCGGATGCCCAAGAGACACAAGCCCACGATATAATCCCTTTTCTGCAAAATACCGATAATCTCCTAGCTGTCAAGATGACATGTCCGTGGCACGGGAGTCCCTCCGTTGAAGTCAAACTCAAATTCAGCGTCCCTATTAGATTTAGCGAGCGTCTCTTGCGGTATAAAAACCTCGCTCACCAGGAGGCGGCTGCCTATTCGGAAATTCTGAAGTACCAAACAGTGGGACGCCCGTAGAAGCGGCAGTTCTGGCCTTCCTTGAGTAAAATGATCTGGAAGTTTTGCCGTTCGTCAGGCCCGGTTTTCACTCTGTCAACGAGCTCTGCAGACTCGTCGTGGATGTAGACGGCGCCTGCTCCTCCATGTACCTTCAGCAGTAGAGCAGGCACCACAAGCGAAGTTACGCTTTGTAGAGCTTCAATTATGGCTATATTGGTATCCAACGTAACGTTTCTCCCAATCTTATCCTTAACCTTCCTTTCAAGTGCACTTCTCTCGATTGTAGTGTCGTTCGCGATCTCGTTCACATTTAGTATTTGGTCAGACATGTCGGTAGCGGTCATCGATGAAAGGGTGCTCGGTTAGTGAACATTATAAGGAGAGGTCTTGTTAAACATGTTGCCATCAGCTCTAAGTGGAAAACTGAACATATCGAAAAAAATTGCCCCTCATACTCCCCACCTCGTTGTCATCACGTGAGTACCTAACTAGTTAACTAGTTCCAAAATGACCACCAGATAACTAGTTAGGGGGCGAGAATCTTTTCAACATAATGTACAATCACTCAAACAGAGAGGCAACGGCCCGTGTTGGGCGAGCTATTAACCCTGATGAGACATTCATTGTACGTTTTAATGAAGACGAAATCGTTGGTGAGTCTACGGTTCTAGAAACGCATTGCAATTCATCAGGCGATTCAAGAGATGCAAGCGGTTTACTGTGAAGCTGCAGTTGTGGGTAGTGTTAACCTGATATTCGACCCCTCTATATTTATCATAGAGTCTAAGCTTCATATACTATCGCCAGGCTCTCAGTCTCGAATGTGGGACAAGGATTCAAATGGCTATGCTCGTGAGAGTCACAGCCCTTCGTGATAAGCTATGCTATCCGAAATAGAGATTGCATCGAGGGCGTTATTCGAGCTAGAGAACTGCTTCGGGTTCGGGGGGCAAAAATGCGCATGTCATCCTTAAAATCTATAGGAGCCGTGAATTTGAACCATTTGAAAAGGCTGGAGTTGACAATTCAAGTGACTTTATTGGCACCCTGGATCATCTTTGCTCGCAAATTTCAAGGCATTCAAGGACATATGTTGATAACCCGACCATTAGTCTTTATGATCTTGCCTGGGTGGTCTAAAGTCAACGATCCACACACAGAGCCAAGGCATATTTTGTTGCGGACCGTCGAGAGAAATTGATCTCACGACTAAGGGAGTATGTTTTGGAACATGCTCATGTTTTAATCATTGAACAAATTGGTATACGTGGCCAATTTATCAAACCTAGCAAACTTCGAGCTGTGTTGGGCATTCTTACTGGATAAGGCGCTCAGTGGCCTTCGATGGGACGCGACCTACTGGAAAGATGTCCATTATTCCGAAAATCGATTGAACAATGCGATTCAGCCAGAAAGGCGCTTCCTGACAGCCCTGTGTGGTCACTAGTCAATGAGTTAAAGGCCGCATTAATGTTGCTGCAAGTTATTCTCCTAAGAGCGTGACATTATCGGGGGATATGCCGGCTATTTATTGCGTGAAGGAATATTTTGACCAGGAAAATACCCTTGCTTGTCCGTTAAACGTGGATAAGGCTTATCACTCGCATCATACGGATTATTGTGCGGATCGCTATCTCCAGTTTCTTATGGCATGTAACAGTATGGTTCGCTAAGCAACAAATGCTCATATCTGGAATTCAAGCGTCCGCGGAGACATAGAATGGTAGCAAGGAGACCTTCAATCCCTTAAAGGGCCGTACTGGGTTTAGAACATAGTAAATACAGTTTTCTCCCAGGCAGTTAAATCTGCTGTCTGACACGGAGAGCCGTTCGACCTTGCTCTAGAAAGAGGCCGCATCCAGCACACAAGGGACCTACTGAACAGACCTTCATATCAGCTTTTGGGGTCGCACCATTTTATACAGGCGTCCTAAAGCGTGGTGAGTGATATCCAAGCATTCTCAGTGGTGTTGGGCTTTTTTCGGTCACATCTCGGTCTATCCTTTGTCAATTTTAGGATATCGGTCCGTCTTTTAAGGAAGACCTCCAAGAGAAGAGGTCCTCAAAGATTTATCATCTCATACTTGGGATCACAGCAAAGTCTATCGGTGTGAATCTTGGACCTCAAGGAGATTCCGCAAGCCAGCTGACCGCCCTCACGAGCTTCTTGGACGTCGAGTAGCAGATAATACTTATCACAGGAGATGTGTTAGCGCAGCGTCCTGAAAACTAGTGAGTTGTCATGGGTGCACGGTCATGATATCCTGGGAGAAACATTGCTCCCCGGTACATTATATGCCTCGTTGGCTTTTGAGGCCGCTAAGCCCATTGCCGCAAGGAATCCTGTCCGACTATTCGAAGTCCGGGACGTAGATGTCTGGTGCCCAGTCGTCGTTTCCTCCACTAAAGAGGGCGTTGAAACCATATGCACAACTCATCTTCTAGCGACTAAAAATCCTAGTTTTCGAGGCCTCTTTCTTATATTATTACTGCTCTGATGAGAGTATTGGGTCTATGATTCAAAATTATAGCGGGAGGATTTTGGTCCATTTGGGTTCTAGGTCAAAGGAGGAACTTCCTCGACAGGGAGCCGTGCCACTTGGTATCCTACCTGTGAATGCTAATAACATATACTAGGTTCTTCACAATGCTCGGCTGAATTATTCGGGATTATTCAGACGAATCGAGCAGCCTAAATACTCCCTGGAGTACACTACTGCTTCGGAATCCTAAAGGACAGACGAGTCTACCGATAAATACATTGTCCGCCCTGCAATTATCGACGTGCGTTTCCCAACCTTGTTTGTTGCTCGCTCAAGCCCTGATACCGGCAATCTGCCATCAACAATTTTGCCTATTTGCATTGAGCGACTGGTTTTGAACCCCAATGTGCCGTGGGCTGATGAGTTAGGTGCCGTTAATATCAGTTTCGAGTCATTTATTACAATGCGAGATGGGCTCTCCCTAGCAGGTGATTAGCGCCTCTACAACAGGTCTTCAGGCCAGGCCGTCTCGCAGGTGGAATCTCTTGCTGTGGAACCTGCCTCCGAGCCCACTAGAGCAGGGGGCTGTCTGATCTTTTTGGAGATATCCTTCAGGCTTCAGGGCAGATCCATCTTGGGGCATTGCCGGACGGAGAAGAAGCGTATAGCACGATGAAAGTGAGAAAGGCTTTGCCGATGATATTGAACTCGGCGTATTATACTGTATGTAGCGATTTTTCGAAGCAGCTGACACTACTGAACGGCTGGCGCTTGCATAACACCATCAGCGCATGAGGCATTCGAGTCCATCGTGCAGGTTGTTCGCAATGGAGAACGTCCACTGGCAAAAAGGAGTGGCTTAGTTACTGATGGCCCTGATAGTCTTTCGACCTTGCTCGAAAGCCACGCTGAAAAAATCAATATGATTGCGGCTCGACTCGGGGGAAATTATCAATAATATGAGGCGAAATGCTACGAAACTCTTATTACGGGATGATTTTCTTGGTCGCATCTATAGGGAGAGTTGCGCCTGGCCTCGCCTCAACCGTCCCTAAACCATCGCATATATTCCCTCGTGAAGCAATATTGGAGATTGGCGCAGGCGCAGGCGGCACTGTAATTCTTCCTCTTCCTCTATGCTTGACTTATGTACAAGCTAACAACCTATAATAGTACCCGAGACAATCCGTGACGCGATAGGAACTTAAACCTAGGTATACGGATACTGGTTTTTTCGAAGCTGCCACCAATAAATTCGCTGACTTTGAGGAAAAGATGGTCTTCAAGACCCTAGAAATAGGGAATAATGTCTCTTCCCAGAAGTTCAAAGAGAATTTCTACGATATTATTATCGCGACTAACGTCTTACGGGCCACACCTAATATCAGCACCACTCTGGAGACTACACGGTCTCTTCGGAAACCCAGCGGCTTCTGCTTCTGGCGGAAACCACTGGTCTCCAAACCATGCGCACCCCATTTGTGATGGAGGGTATGCCAGGTCGGTACTTGGGAGAAGATGATGAACGAAGAGATTACATCCTGGCATCACCGTAGAGAATTGGGACAGCCGCTTACAGTGGGCGGTGGATATGGTGCACCATGGCACTTCGGAATATGAGAAATATTCCGTTCCGTTGATGGTCAGCCAGGCTGTGAACGGCACTTTGGTATGGCCTGCTAGGTTATCTAATCGTTCTTTCTCGGGAAGATTCACTTCTCGTAACCAGGGAAAAGAAGTTGCCAGCGTCCAAAGTTGCTGGCCCCATTAAAATACTCTCCCGGGTGTTGACATACAGTTGGTACCTGATATCGAGAGCGCCAATTTTCCACAACTCCCACGCTCTACAGATGTGATCTGTTCCCCATTTCTCGGCAGTCATCACGGGCAAAGCACTCAAATCACTTCAGAATATGTTTCTGCATGCCAGAAATGTGCTTGGGTGGCGAAGAACAGGAGGCCTGGGAACATGATAGTAGGAATCGCGAGGCCAGTCAACAGCATCCAGCAAAATGGATACTATTTCCGTGAAGGTTGAATACTCTCTGTATGTCACTTGCGATGGTTCCACTAAATGCTCTCTGGGAGGACGTACCTAATGGGCGGAATGACAGGTAGTCAGTCAATCTCTCTCTCTTTTTGTTTCTTTGGGAAGAAATTGATCAACCCCTTTCTATCGAAAATCAAGAAGACATGCCAAACTATTGGTGCAATAGTCTTCCGTTTCCACCTTGCGGTCATCCAAGTTTCATTGTCTCTCGGTCTTTGTGCATTGAAGATATATACATGTACTGGCGTCGCAGCCGCAGCCGCAGCCGCCGATGTGAACCACGTGACTAGTTAGGCCTCCAAGATAAAACATCTCGCATTTCAAAATATTCAACGTCGCTGAACAAGTGTGGCACCGCTGTTTATCTTACAGTGATCACGATACCAAAGCTGATCCGCATGCTCTCAGCATCTAGAACTCTCTCAGCGCCATCCTATAGCTAGACATTGACCTTAGCTATCTCTTCCTATACTACAGCACCATTATGAAGAGATCCATGGCACCATCAAGGGCTGCTGATAGCAGAACCTCCTCTCAACAACAGCCAGTATCATGCCAATTCTGTCGGTCAAGAAAGCTCAAGTGTGACAGAGGACGACCTTGTTTCAACTGCTCCTCGCGGAACTACGAATGCGCTTATCAGATAGGCGAGTACTTGTGCATTTGCGCCTTGCTATGAAATGCATCAGAACTAACCACCTACACAGACCAAAGTGAAACATCGCGTTTGTCCATCCCGCCGGTTGCACACCAGCTTAAAGATGATCATGTTTGTGCTAGGTAAATCACAGTTACTAGCATAATGCCGTTGCTCCAATTCTTCCTCCAGCTGATCCCACTTTATTCTAAAGGGACTGCTCGGAGCTCGCTCAAAGGATACTGCGGCTTGAGCAGGTAGTTTTTCCAAGTAGAGATTCAGAGCCTACCCGCTCGATAATCGAGCCGAATGATACCCATCTCGCGAAAAATTCGAATTCAAGTTTGTCGAACCAAGATGAAGAGCAACAAATAACATCACATTGGCTAGAGGGCCTCTTGACGACGGTAAGATGTGCCTAGATATAACCCGTTTCTCTCGGCTAACTTGACCCAGAATACAACCTTAGAACCCTTAACACCTGCACCATTACTATCAGCCATCTTCCATGACTTTCCAACCTACGGCGATGCGAAAATGCTCTTGGACCACTTTATTAGAAACATCGATGCTCTTTACCGGATTTTACACATTCCTACAACGCGGAAACACCTTGAGGACCTATATTCAGACCTCGATACTAATAAAACCCCCCAGGCAACCCGGCTCGCGTTCTTCCTGAGCGTCTTCGCCGGCAGCGTCTATGTTTCGAAAAATACCTTTCAGTTCCAAACGGCCGCTCTACAAAACCACTCGCAAATAGCACTAGCCGAATTGTGGGCTAATCAGGCGGTATCGTTGGCGACCAGGCCACCGCTTCCTCCCTCTATAGAAGCACTGCAGGCAATTGTGAACCTAGCTCACTTGTGCGCTCAGATTGAAGGCATTAGCGGGAGCGTTGGTATTCTCAGTATCTCTGGTGTTCAGATGGCAAAGCTGATGAAGATCCACCTGTTGGATTCACCACCTTATTGTGAAGAACGTCGCAAAAACGGAGCGGATATGGTGGAGATTGAAGTCAAACGGCGAATTTGGTGGCATATGGTTGCCTCGGACTGGCGAGTACTTCGTTGCTTTTTACCTCTTAACCATAACTAATATTCTATCTAGGCTTTTGTCCTATGTGGGTGGCCTCAACGAAGGGACGTATATGTTACATCCTCGACAAATGGAAACGCGCCACCCTAGTAACGTGGAGGACAATGATATACCATCGGGGATTACATATATTTCAGAAGAATCTTACAACTTGCCTCTTAGTAGCCCAACATCCATGACTTATTTCCTCTGCCGTATCCAAGTCGCCACCTTGGTTCGTGAGGTTGTTGACTGCCTACCTCCGTCGTTTTTTGCGTCCCCAGGTTCTGAGAGTCCTGACGAGTTCTATGACAAAATCATTGCTCTGGATCTTAAATATCAACAGCTTCTAAAATCCCTACCTATATATTTTCAGCTCACTATCCAAGATGTGAAAACCCATCAAGCACTACTTAACGACAGACCGTATTTGCAATGGCAGCGTTATCTAATTAATTTTGTGATCCACACACATCGCGCTCGACTTCACAGGCCGTTTTTGATTCGAGGCTCGATACAAGAAAAGTTTGCAAACTCTCGTATACAGTGCATTAAATCTGCGAAAATTGTGATAGAGATTCGGAATAGCACTATTGGCGACCACAGTATTGGGACTTTTACATATGTGCTCCACCACTTCTTGATGGCCACAATTATCCTAGCCATGGATATTTGTTTTAACCCCGAAAGCATTGAGGTATCACAACGCAAAGAGGATGTATTAAGAGCCTGTCGAGAGTTAGAAGCAGAGCTGAATGCTAAAAAGATACCACGCAGCAGAACAGCAGACGAAGGTACATCGAGTGGGCAACTTATGGTCCAGTCGTTTCAAAAGGCTGTGCAGAGCTTGCGAGCAATTTTACGGAGGAGAATTAGCGAAGATGGACCAGATAAGGTTGGAATAAGCAGTCCATCTACTAAGATTTCTGCAATTACACCTGAAAAACAGGGGCGGGTGACTTACTCTCCTCCAATGCACAAAGATATAACTAACCATATGGATGACTCGAGGGCCCCCGCTGCGGAGGCCAGCCGCGATATACATAAATGCCAACCTACTCCTCGAAATAGAACTACATTTGCGCAAGATGAAAAGGATTTAATGCCATCTACCCAGGCTACCCTACCCTTGTCTCATCACGAGAAAGATCAGAAGCATCTGGAAGAGACTCATTCTGCTGGTGACCTTGTTACGGATGAGCTCTGGGATGAGTTCTTTACTGTTGGATCAACTTTCAATAATACGGATTGGGATACATTCTTACTTGATGTGGGAGACGAAATCGGCGGCATGCAGTAAACAAATCAAAGGTCTACACAGACGAGTATATAATTTCTACATAGTCGCCAGTACTTTAATCCAACAAACACAGGCATTGGCTAAAGTACAAGTTGGCATTAGTGGGTAAAGAGTGCAGAATCAGACTAACAACGATTGCACATGGGAAAATTTCGATGGCTAAGATACATCCTGAGGTCTGAACGGATGCAACAAATTATGGAGTGGATGCATGTATTTATGGTATAGGCAGAGCCAGATATTCCTGCGTCCCTTACAAGGACTATCCGTTGGCCGTTATCTTCCACCCCACGACCCGAGCTCGGAGGATGATGATGAAAACTACTGATATAAAGTAGTTCGCACCACTGAATACGCATGCGAAGTTATAGTCACCGTTTTCAGATATTTGGGCGATAGCACCTCCGATTGGTGGACTGGTCAGCGCACCGATGCCTGCGATAGCGAATATTGTACCCATCCGATAGCCAACTTCTTGGATAGGGGAGATACCCATAATGAGCACTGGCCCAAGACCAATACATGCACCAGAGCCTATCCCAAACAAGGCAGCAAAGGTTATTATAGCTCCCTCACTGCGCCCGGGAAGCCAAAGAGCTAGAACGATAATAAGACTGAAAACCACCATGATGATCATCACATTAAAACGTCCAAATTTATCCGCAAGAACGTTAGGTACCGTTCGACCGATGAAACTAAAATGCGACACCCCCTTAGCACTACACTTGAACTCAACACGCATCGCCAACCGAGGGGATAAAGGTCCTTACCTAGTCCCGTTAAGAATTGGGATGAGATTAAAGGCCACTGAAGGCGACAAGCCATAGTGTATACCGGCGGAGACAATATAATCGAATGGTACGAACATTCCCCCTTGGCCAGGTGATTAGCAGATATATTGAAGGTCAGAGTTGGCCAAGGCACTTACAGTATAGGAAAAAGCTGGAAGCACACATGAGGATGTAATCCGTTTCCTTTAATGGGCCGACATACTGCGAGATTCTGAACGGTTTTGGGTGGTGGACAAGCTTAGACGAGATGGTAAGGTTGGTAATGACTAGAAGGCCGAGAATCATGAAGGCGCATGCCCGCATCGTCCACGGAAAGCCAATCTTTGGAATAAGATGTGAGGCCATAAGTGGGAAGATAACACCGCCGAGAGATGAGCCTGCAATGGCCAAACCCCCAGCAATTGCTCGCTTCTTGCGAAAGTAGGTCATGGGCTGGATGGATTGCAGTTAGCAGGCATATACTTCACGATGGGGGGCTTTATCGTACTCACAGCTGTCATACATGGCGTAAAGATAAGTGATGCCCCGATCCCTGAGCAGACCGACTGACTTAATGCGAATTGGTAGTATTCCTTGGACAGACTTGTCATCATGAGGCCAAAGACGTGCATGAAGGTTCCAATGGCGACCGGGAGCCTAGGCCCGTAGTTATCAAACATCCTCCCCGCTAGGGGAGACATGAATAGTATGAAGAAGACTATATACTGGTTAATATGGAAGCGACTTTTGCATACTTCAGGGAGTTCATACTTACATTCCATTGATGTGATCCAGGAGACTGTTGATGGGCTGTATTTCTTCAATTGGTTGGTCTCGTACTCGGCCTGGAATAATGCAATGCAGTTTACCCAGCCAAAGGATACAAACATAGCTGTCGACGCTCCTAGGAGGCTTAACCATGCTTTGTTACCCCCTTCAGGAGCTTCTGGTACCGAGCCTGGTTCAGCCACATTGCCCAGGGAAGGTTCACCAGTTCGGTCTTGGTCAGGGTTCTTTTCAAGACTAGAATCGGATAACACCGCCATTTAGAGATAGTAGCATGAGACGTAGAATGAGAACTGGGTTTGAGAATTGATATACTGAGGAAATCCGAGGATCTGGATGAATATTTGTACAGCGTACTCTGTAAGTCACATCCTCATTTTCCCCTAAAAGCCTCCACGGAGGTCCGCGGACCCCCCTTGCACTTCACCCTCCTGGGTTTTTTACATCGGGACAAGGACAAAAGAATGATCTGAAAAATCTCTTTTATTCTTTCGAATCTGCTTGCCTTGCCCTTCTGCTAATTATCCATCGTGTATGAGGCGCTGGAATGCTATGGGAAAGCTCTGCGGATGATGCTTGGGTTAGTCGTCCATCGCACCATTCAACAGATACAAGCTGCAGGCCATCGCTGGGTATACTATGACACAGAGAACGCCAAAAACATTGCGATAATCGGTGGCTCATATGCAAGAATATATCTGGCGTGACGGCTGAGCGAACGCTCCCTACCGGTTGCAGAGCTATCATCATAACCGAAAGGTACAGCCATATCAACCATCTGTTCTCCTTTCCACGATTTGGGATTGTGCCACGCAAGGAGCACAAAGCATCCATACTTTATGATAGCATTTCCGGCTTTGGCCCGGCGGGAATTCTTCGCCATCATGTGCGCGCTTCAGTCACCAGCATCACGCCGATTCAGGTACGGTACCTGGTGAAACGATCAACTACGAATATTTTGCCATAGCTACTGGCACATAGCAGCCGCCTCCTTCGAAAGCATCGCCAATAGACAAGGCTGACGCCTGTGTAGAGCTGCAATGTTCTCAAACCTGAATTCAGCAAGCTAACAAAATTGCAATCATCGGAGGCGGCCTCGTTGGAGCCCAAAATGCAACTGATATAGCGAGCTTTACCCCCGGGAAAGACGTGACTTTGGCTCATTCGCGGCATCGACGGCCGCCGAACTACGGTCTAAAGCCGCATGAGGTTGCATTCCAATCAATACAGAAGCTCAACATAAATGTGATCCGAGGGGAAAGGCCGCAGATAAATATGAAGGACACTGCAGGAAAAGTGTCATGCCACGGAGCTGCATCCTGTTATAACGACGCCCTAAAGGACGTCTGGTGGTTGATGCTGGCCCTCAGTACCGCCAGCCTTGTTGGTACTCTGGGAGGGAGAAGCGTGACGAACAAGGTGGCGACAAGTGGTGCCCCAGGCCCCGCGGTCGGTACCATCCACGCAGTCATCGATCGAGGAATTGAAGCAGCCGAAAGACGCTATATGTAATGGCTGTATATGCCGGCAGCGATGATACAGCATATGCCATTCGACCAAAAGATCATACACAGTGATGACGCTCGTATTAGTTATATCAATCTGCGCTGCATATATTCGATATATCATAGTGCATGAAGTAATTATTCTGGATAGTTTTCCTACTCTATCGGTTAATATCCCATCCGCTCTGCATACTTCTCATACTGGTACTAAGGTGACAAGGACAGAGAGATTTTTATGCTCCGTCATGGGACCCATGTCCCCCTCGATGGTGGTGACTCTCGCCTGGAGCTCCTTCACCAATATCTCGTTGGGAATCTTGGACTTCTTGCCGATTTGCAGCTTCTCTCGAATAGACTGTAGGATCGCACCAGACTCGTCTGAAAACACCCCCAGTCCGTCGTGGCTCTTATTGAAGATGGGCTGAGAGTGTACGACCCTTAGACCGTGTCGACTAGCTGTGGCCCGAGCCTGCTCCAGACATAGAGACCATAGGTGATCTGGAGCAACTTTGGTGTGTGAGATTGGCTTCTTGCACGTAGTTAGCCTGCCGTCCACTAGGTGACTCCGGTACCGTCGCAGCGTACGTACATCGCGGGGCACTCGGTCTCGTCTATTAGAAGGGCGACACTGGAGGATGTATTTCCAGTGGCGATCCCCACACATCTCACAGGCAAATCCACGCCTACCCGGACCTTCATCAATACGCTGAAAGCGGCCTGGATGGTCGCACTCGTGGTTTTCTAAGAGCTCCTCTCTCATCCGTCCAACGCGCCTCTGTCGCTCTCTGTGGGGGATAGGTTGAACGGCTTCCCTGTCTACAACCTCCTCTGCTTGGTTTAGTAAGTTCCGCTCACTCTATATCTTGTATGTATATGTCTTCCACTTCAAGCTGTATAGATAGTAGAATCCAGATCCACATATGCAACTAGGTATATCAATTAGTTACTTAATATTAGTGGTAGGTTTCTATGCTACTACTTACCTTATATGGTAGTAACCGGTATTTAGTTCCATAAGGGTCCTGTAGTTGTAATAGCGCTACTAGCCTTCACTCGTCGCCAGGTCTAGAGCTGCTTGTAATAGAGGGTCTGCGGCGCAATCTTTATCGGTATGAAAAGCGTTTTTGTATATAGAGCATGTTTCTGAACTGTAGCGAGCGTACTCTACCTTACCAGCTATACCCGGTCAGGATAGATAAATTTTCTGTATTCCCTATTGCTACAGTATGTCCGGTCGGTTATAGAAAACTCGATCTCTGTGTTGTGAAATATCTCTTTCTCTTCCGTTAATATCTCTCTAGCAGGGGATTTCCTGGCGGCAACATCTGGGAGGAAATATTGTCTGGTCCTTGGTAGCTCGTATAAACAGGGCCTTCAGGCATTCGACGTAGTAGATATTCTTGTATTGTAATCGAACAAGCTGATATGGCCGGAATTGCTCGAGACAGGTATAGTATTGTCCTGCTATCCGTGTATGCCGCTCTAAACGCCTCCTCCTGGCGCGAGGTATATGAGGTCGATGGACCAGCGCTACATCCATCACTATCACCATCCGGCTCACTTTCTTCTTCAGGGGGCCCTGCAATCAATCGTGGGCATTCTTTTTGGGTATCTGGCACATCAGCATTGCCATCCGTCGTCAAGGCCAGGCGCCTGTCCTGCCGGGCCTGAGCTTCATCCTGCAAGATTCCAGCAATCACCTGGCCATCTGAATCCACAGCATGTGCAATGCTATGAGCAAGCCTCAGGTCACTCAAAAGGTCGATGCTGCCCTTAATCTCAGCCTGGAATGCTTCACAGGCCAATTCAGAGTCTGGAAGGTTGTCTGCTCGATATTTGCCCTTGCGCCGCCTGTCATAGGATTCGATCTCTTCCAGCTGCAGCATCAGAGCTACAGCCTCATCGTCCAACATAGAGAGCGCGTCCATAGTTCTCGGAGTGATCAAGGTGAACTATGAACGCGAACTGGGGGTTTCTCTAAGTAAATAGACAGAGTCTTCCTTTTAGTAGAGAATATTGTGTGACTAGCTATTTTCTACGGGACTTTCCGCTTTGTTTGGTTGCTGGCATGTTCTATCTTGTTCCATCTTGTCTCAAAGACTCGCACTTGAGCTCTACTACTTGAGCTCTTCCGTTCTCTCTATGGATGTTGAGTAGAGACATGCAAAAACCCGATACTAGTTAGATGTTATACCCTGATAGATGCAGACAAGGATGAGTAGCTCCAGGCTATTCCGGACTGTCTGGTCCTCTGCCAAACGAACATCTGGACCAAACATCTCACCATGCAGCATCATGACAGGAGAGATCCCCGGTAAAAATGAGATGCAATGTCGAATAGTTCCAGCTCCTCGCCTAATATACGTTGAATGAGACTTAGTGCGGCCTCATGGATGTAAAGGATGACATGGCTATAAAGCTGGGACGGGTGCCCTCTTCCTCTCTTCTTCATCTTTCTCTGCTACAACTACATTAACTATATACACCCGGAGAACACGATGAAGCTCGACCTTGCAGTTCTGATTGCCGTTGCGGTAGCTTTGCTCCCTCTAGCCACTGCTCTCCCGCGTCCAGACAACGGCGATGTAACTACTCTACAGTCATGCTGGGCCGTATGCTGGGATGCACGCACTACCTGTCCCAAGATCAAGCCTGTGGGCGCCTCTCTCCCTTTGCCATTATCTATGGTTACTGACACTTTACCGTATCACAAGCAAGATGGGGTAGGTTGATAATCTATACTATGCTATTGTCTTCTAATGATGTATCGGATTGCTTCACTTGCTGCAGTGATCCTGTCAATTGAACCATTTGCATATATACAACGATGTAGTACAATACTATCAACATCGTATTCTCCCTATAAATATCCACGGAAGTGATCCCGTCCTTTTGTCGACTATAATAAATACCACCAAGAGTCAAATGTATATCTGGAACCATCCCTAAGTCTTGTATGCAGTTAAGAGGCAGTAGTAGCAGCATAATAGTGAGATCTAGACATTAACCAAAGTCCAAAAATCAGCAGCCATTAACCCACGCTTTCACTGCTGACGTTTTAAGGTCGGGCCACAGGTAATCTGCTCGTCCGTCGCCAGTCACATCGCCAAATACGATTTCATTGGAATATGTAGTAGATCCAGAAGCAATTAAGCCACGTTCCCACCACGTAACTTTGGCAGCGTTCGGCCCATTGTCCCTATTGTAAGAGTCAGTCAGGCTTATAGTCCACATCGGCTACTGCTTCATTGTCTAGTCCTCGCGGGACACCGGGGTAAACTTACGGGCCTCCTAGATTTTGCCAGAGTTTCACAGATCCGCGCTCACCAGTCCACAGGTAGTCAGCGCGCCCATCGCCATTGATGTCTGTAAAGATGATATCCTCACGTCTGCCAGGCCCAACTCCGGTGGCTATCAAACCCTGTGGAATCCAGACCACCGTCCCATCCTTGTTGTTGCCGTAGGTAAATCCGGCGTTAAGATAAGCAGTGACGGCTCCTACCGGGTCAACATACAGATATTCTGCTCTGCCGTCGCCATTGATATCAGCAAATCGGACTCCAACCCCGGGTTTCCCTATTCCCGTTGCGATGGTGCCCTGCTGCACCCAGGTGATTTTGGAGATGTCGGATGGGTCATCCAAGACGTTGAGCCACATCTTCACAGAGCCGTCCGGTTCCACTGAAAGATAGTCGGCACGGCCATCCCCGTTGATGTCCGCAAAGTGAATCTGCCAGTTTAATGTCCCAACGCCGGCGGCAATCTTACCCTTCGGCCACCAAGTGACGGTACCGGTGGTACCATTCACGTATTTCCACCCAAGATTTTGGAATGCGGTGACCGCCCCGCGGGAGTCCACGTAGAGATACTCATCTCTCCCATCTCCATTTAGGTCGGCAAAACGGACTGCATGGGTTCTAAAAAAGTTTGGACAGTCTGGTGGTGATCCTTGGTCGAAGTTATAAGTCGTATTAGTAACTCGGTCAAAGCAAACGCAATTCGATGAGTGGACTCTACCATTGCATTGCGTTAGCAGTAAGCTGAGGCCATTTGTTAAGGGGGGAAGGGGGGGATCTTACGATGATACGCCACAGGCTACGATGTTAGGAGTATCACCACCTAACCCTGCGCCATTTGCAATCTGTCCTTGCTCTATCCAGGTGGGCAGGCGTGGACATTCTTCGCGAGGTTTGGTATTAGAAGCTGTTTTGATCCAGCCCAAACCTTCTGCGATCTTGATATGTCGGAACCATGCGTCGGCCATAACGCTATAGCCTTCATCGTTTGGATGTAGCCCATCTCCAAGATGCGAGTCTGTGAGCATGGAGTTCATATCAACAAGAAGGACATGCTTCCCGCTTCTAAAACGAGATTTGACAATCGAGGCAACCTCGTCGTTATATAGATTGATGCGACCATTGGTATCCGCATTAGTCGCTGGGATAATCAGAGCCACCAGGACAACAGCATCTGGGCAGGCTCTGAGAATCTGGTCAATCAGGCTCCCTAGACGGGCCGGCGCCGTATTGGGCGAAGTAGGATTGTTCATATCGTTTGTTCCTGCATGAAGAAGAACAATATTGGGCTTCTGGCTGTAAGCTCCGGTGTGCGATGCAATGCCGTCGATAACGGCGCCACTATGCCCTTCATTATCATTGTCAGCCATGTTCCCGGACTTCACAGAACCAATCATATCGACAAAGTTCCCGGAGAGCTTTCCCAATAGCTCCCCTCGATATCCATTCCCGTGGCTGCTTCCGTAGCCAAAAGTGATTGAGTCTGCAAGGTCATATTAGCGTCCAGCCTACATTTCTTGGGGGAGCTGCTTGGGGCTATTGTACCACCAAGCGGGAGAATCTTCAGGTTTTTGCCCTTTAATTCCGAAGATGGCCAGAGAGCTTCGATTTTTAGCGCTTTCTCTTTCCTGTATGCCGCTGGATAAGTCGAGTCCGATATTAGACGCCTCTTGGTCAAGTCCACGTCGCCTGGTCCGCAATATGTACCATTCACACCGGGCGAATAATCGAACACGGCACCGTTGCTGGTCCTAGTGAAAGTAGTAAGTTGAGGAGGCGGAAGGTCAGGGGGGATCTCCGCTCTCTCGGCAACGACTGGGTAGTGTGGATAACTTTGAGGGAAGCAGAAGCATCAAGGGTCAGCCATGCGGAAATTCAGAGATCAAAATCTAGCTTACATGTTACCGAGGGCTTTTTGGACATGTTTCGCCGTGGCAAACAGGGCAAAATTATCCGCTATTGTTTGTTAGAAAGATTGCGGAGTGAAAGGTTGATGGAGCCTACCATTTCGTTGAACCCATTTCCCCGTTTCTAGATCCATTCGAGCCAAGATCTTCGTGAGGCGTGGTCCATATGCAATGCCAGTTTCATACTTTTCTCCCTCAGAGCCCAAGACTTCATAGACAATGGATATATCACGAATGTGGGGTACCTTGTCCGGAGAGCCTACGGCAAGGTCCAAATGGCACATCTCGTGGAGAAAAATGGTGGCTGCGGCTTGAGTTAGACCTGTGTAGGCACCATTCGGGATAGCGGGTAGCACCTTTATTCTTGTGGTACGAGTTCAGGTCATACTTAAAGGGTTCCCGCAAAAGTACCCCTTTTGCTACTGCATTCTGGAGATAGGGGTATTCAGCATTGTTGAAGAAAATTGGGCAAAAGTTGATTCGGGGATAGCCGGATTCAGAATCTCGATTTGCTGAATATGCAACGGTTTCGGCCGTCGCTAGATCTAGTATCCGCCGATTGTTTGGTTGGCAAGGATCCTCGGGATGAGTACATAGCTTAGAGGGGTCATCACACCGGACCTAAATGTATGTAACACCATCAGCGCGTGTCCTACCAGAGAGGGAACAGGAAGCAGCGGGGAAATTAAGAATAAGATAAGAATTGCACTTACATGGATCCAATGGGCAAATGGATTGGCAAAACTCGGCCAATTTGTCGATAGCCTGTCTAATACATCTACGAACCAAAGACAATTGTGAGTTATCGCACTGAGACATTGAAACCTAGGATACTATACGGAGTATTCCCTTCTGTTCGTTTCTGTTCAGTGCAGGTGGCCCAAAGAACTCAAGGGCCGCCGCCGAATTGAAGTCGACTTCTCGTCCGACTCCCGGAGTATCGAGAATTTTGTACATATCCCAATAAGCATCGTTGATTTTCTTCTGCTGGCCGGAATCACAGCCAGAGTATTTGAACAACCTGATCCCGAGCCAATTGCCTTCAGTCCCAAGTTCTCCATGACCAGGAAAAGCAGGAGGGTCGTCGGGGCCTGAAGGGTCTTTTGGAAGTGTTTGACACACAATCAACCCTGAGAGGGCCAACACCACATTGAGGCTCCACGGAACGTGCATGGTGGAAGGGAGAAAAGAAACAGGGTGAAGTAATTTATCTGTCCATATCAAAGAAGGAGACAGACAATGGGGACATATTGTCTTTTGTATTCACGCCCAAGGGCGTGCGTGACAAGGCAACAATACCTCTCCGAGGAGAACTAGAGAGATAACGGAACTTGCGGTTAGAAATGCAAGGGGGTGCAGTCGGTAAAGGCCTCGCCTTCGCAATGCAGCCATAGAGGAAAGATATCACTTTGTTATGGGACTGCGCCTTGTGAGCTCTTGTACCTGGCGCTCAGGGGTTTGGCCTAAAGGGCATCAAGTTCCAGGGGATGAGCCCGTTATCGTAGATGCATCATCCTGGGATAGGGTTCCTGAATGTTGGAATCCATCATGGGGTTGGAGTGGCGGAGGATCCCAACGTTCACCTTACAGGCGTGAAATCAATGGTCACGATCAGGCTGCAATTGACGAGAATCGGAGCGCATGGTTCCAGGAGGTCCACTTCTGCGCGGCTCAACGCATAACCACATTCCAAATTTAAACAAGGGGCTGAACTCGCAAAGCTGGGTGAACAAACCCGGAGTAACAGCTAGCAGTCTAGGCACAGCGTTAGCTGGTCATTCAGTAGCAGGGGTCGTGCATTCTTTTACCTTTCACTTTTTCCAAAGCTCAACTTCCACCATCTTTGACGTCGTGATGTTATGTTGTATATCTAGTAACTTAGGGTTCGGCCCGGATACCTCAAGGCTGTACCCGTAACTATTCGAACTGAGCAAACATCCAATATCCAGCTGAAAAGAGCCAACTACCGCGAGACAGCCATTCAGCATGTCCCTACGATGTTATGGCCTATCAAGGATCACAAGGTAGGGTCGGCCTAGGCATCTCAAGCATATGCCCCTATGCGTCTTCCGGAGTAATCCGAGCTGATGGCTGTCCAGGCCTCTGGCTATTTTTCCAACTTGTTAGTTTTCTCGCTCGGGTATTTTCGGATTCTCTCCCTCTTTTTGAACCTCATTTCCTCTGTTATTTTGTCCTCTCTCTGCATAAGTGGTGCGCGACTCTGTAGTGCCACTGTGTATGATCTTTGGGTTGAATGGTATCATCGCTGCCATCACACAGCCTAGGCCATGGTCTTGACTGAGAAAGGCTCGGGCGAGAAGCAAGTCGACAGCTCGAGTGATTCACAATGATACAAAAGGAAAAGCCAGCCCAAGGCGGTGCTGGGATATCGTTTGTGCTCGAATGTGAGAGAAGCCTGACAACGGCCGGGGGTTAGTAGTTAGTTAGCCTCCACTTGGCGGAACACAGCAGAGAAGCAGAAGGATGCCTCAGAGACTATGACCTGTTCTGGCGAGGCGAAGCTGGCCAGAGATGCCGAGTTATCGCCATGGGGCCGGGGTGGCTGGCTAGTTATAACTCTACGGACGGCCAATATATTGGCCGGACGTAACTTAACTACCAGGTAGTTAGTTAAGAACTAGGTACGCTGAGTCAGATAAGGCTGGGAGGACTCGCAGTGATTTATAGATCCAACATTTCTCCAGAAACCAGTAACTGCTAAGGTCCCTTAGATACTGTTAAGCAAGCCAAAGGAACGGAACTTGTAATGCGTTTCCAAGTCCTAGCATTTTGGACCTTGATAATATTGGTGCCTGTTTGGACGCTGTGAGTAGAAGCACTCCAACTCATATTCACAGCCGGCTCAAATGCTCATGCTTCATTCTAGTCTCTGTATCATTGGGTTTAATAGGCCAATTACGATGAACTGGTTTACTTCACGCTCAGTATCAAATCACACAGAACAAACCGAGGATTTCATCAGTCCCCCTCGACTCGATCCTCAACCAAGACATCGGCTCGAGTTCGTCCGAACTGGTGCCTTGGTCAAAGCCTGGCCTTCAAGGGATCCCACGTATCCAAAGAGATGCGGAGGGGGAAAATGGATGAAGCTCGCAACCATTCCAGAGCTCGACTTTCTCGGGCTCGATCGTTTCCAGCAGATTGAAGCGTCAACTGATAAGGCCGAGGAGGATGTCTTTGCGGAGAAGATGCGTTTAATCGGCGCAAGCTGGCAGGCAGATTATCCAGATCATCACACCGTGGACTTCGAGGAGACGGAAAAAGTGGCCTTGTATGGATGGCCTTCCGCCGGCGGGTTATGGGTTTATCCATATGATGGCTATGACCCTGTTAAGATCCGTACCTTCAACAAGCTCTCTGGGATGTTGAAGTTGGCCGTCACTATGGATGAGCAGTCTCGGCTTTTGAAAGACCATGGCGCGCAGTTTTATGAAGATCCAAAAGAATATCCTCCGTTTGCTAACCTGAAGGCTCTCAGGGGAAGGGAGTAAGGTACAACTAAGGAAGCTGAGAGATACCCCCAAGGTTGTGCAAGCCCGGATAACCAGAATGACATGATAAGAAATAGGAGGTTGCTCTGAGACAACGATGCGGAGCCACTCTATATCTCAAACTGCATCAGGGATTCAAAGGTCCTCAGCAAATCGATCTCCCACACTCTCCGGTCTATCTTACTCGTCACTAGTCATGTTTGACCAAGAATCCCCATCACTCTTTAAAATAGACTGGCGGGCCGTCCCGCTGCCAAACTGTATTACCCCTACATATAATCATTTATTAAGTTGTCCCTTATACAATGCTGTTATAGCTCGCACAAGATAGGGTGCATGCTGTGTAATATTGGTGGTAGTATGATAGAGGCTTATTTTGAAACATATTGTTAACGGCCGAAGAGAGTTCTATTCAACTAACTAAGGGTATCCGTAAGTCGAAGACAAAACACATGGGGAAGAAGAAGAAAGGGGAAAAGGAAGGAAGTCGGTAATAGGGGATAGAGCTATAGCTCCAGGCGTTAAGGTTATATAACTATGTTGAGGGTCACGTACGCGAGAGTAAAAGGGGGAGTCTAGTAATAATATCTCCAGATAGGCCTTACTACCTCGTTAATTACGGAGCGTGCGGTAACCCGAGAAGGGAATAAAGGTCTAACCCCTTATATTACGCCCCCCTTCTAGTTCTCGCTTTAAAAGCGTCGAGGGCGGCGGTCTCCTATAGCGCCGAGGCTAGTTCCTAGGTTAGCTTATTCTAGCCCGTCTACTTTACTAGTAGCTACTATTATCCCTTTCTAATCCGTTTCTTTACTATCTAGTCGACCTCGAATTCTTCGGGCTCTCCGTCCTCGCTAATTATTCTAGGTAGTCGCTAGGCCTATACTCGCTACGAAGGTAGTAGGTCTAAGGCTATAGGACGGAGTAGATTTATATAGAATATATTATATATCATTTTAGGGGTATTTAGGTAGTAAGTATAGCTTCTAATCCTCTTTAAGACTCTAAACTTTCCGTATTTTGCGTCAAGCTTCTTAGAGAGTTAGTCCGTCTTAATATTCCATAAATCTAGCTATATATAATCCCCTACTTCGTACTACGTGCCTAAGTCCCTAAACCTATTTATAAAATTCTATTACTCCTATTAGGTAGCTATTATTAAAGCCTATACTTATTTGCTAGTTAACTTTAGTTTATATAAGATAGTATCCGCTTATTAGATAGGGCTCCTTAAGTTAGAAGCTCCTACCGTTAGGTCTTCCGGAAAATCCACTACGTCTAGATAGTACCTATACTCTAGGAAGAAGGGGGATACGCCCGTAGCCGCTATATCTCAATTATTAATTACGAGCTCTACTAAGGGGAGCTAGTCGTATTAGTCGTCCTATAGGTAGTTTATATACTTCCGTAGATAGACCTCTACTATCTAGTTTATCCTCTTAGTAGAACCGTCCGTCTCTAAGTACTACGCGGTCGATAGGCGCCTCCTTATCTCTAGGACTTAATAAATCCGAGTCTAAAGCGCTTTAGTAAACTATATTCCGCAATCTATAACTATAGCCTATAATAGTTCGTACCGCCTATATATCGTTCTAATAAAGATCTTAATAATAGTATCGGCGTCTATCTTCTCGCAAGGTTCTAATATAACCCCTTTATTTAGCCTATTCGTTATTACTAATAGAGTAGTATAGTACTAGCTCTTCGGGAGGTTAGTAATAAAGTCTATAGAGAGTTTACTCTATAATCTATCCGGTACGGGTAGAGGCTTAAGTAATCCTTATCTTCGGTCCTTCTAGGAGTTTAAGGCTCTATAGGTCGCGTAGTTCTATAGGAACTATCTAATATCTCTCGCGTAGCCTAGCTAGTAGAATTATCTACCTACTAGGGCGGTTATAATCTCTCTTCCTAGGTAGCTACTAAGTATAGAGTCGTAGGTATCTTGTACTATTCTTGTTCGTAGTAGTTCGCTATTAGGTACCTACCTCCTCCCTCTCTAGAGTAGTTCGCCGTTTAGTACTAGAGAGTACTCTATTATTAATACCTTTACCCTAAAGTAGATAGAGAACCTCGCTCTCTTCTCCCGTACCGCTTATTCTAGTACTAGTATAACGGGGTTATTTCTCCGTATATTCTTCTAAATACTCCGTAGTTCGTCGGTCTTAAGGCTAGTCTAGTAATAGCCTCTAGTTCTAGAGGGTATAATACTATTACTAGGGTATCTTAATAGCCTACTATTAGGTACTATAGGTAGTATATATACTTCGGGCTTCGCGGAGAGCTTAATACTAATACTAGGGAGGTCCTCTTTACTACTATTACTTATATTAATCTATTTATCCTTTAGTAGTTTTATCTCTCTATAGGCTAACCGTTCGTCTAATATATCTTTAGGTATATTCTACTCCCTCCGCGAGAGTGCGTCTACTATCGAGTTTAGGATCTCTAGCTAATAGATTATCTTAAAGTTAAACTAATTTAGAAATTCTACCTATCTTATCTATTACTCTATTAGCCGTCGGACTGTTATAAAGTACTCTAAGTTCTTATAGTCTATTAGAATTCTAAAAGAGCTAACTACTAGGAGTTCTACTTTCTATTCTTCTAAGTATCGGATAACTATAAGTAGTTCCTTATTATAGATTTTATAGTTATACTCGGCCGGGGAGTTCCTTTTTAAGTAGAAGGCGTAGGGGCGAAGAAGGCCCTTATTATCGTACTATATTAAGGTGCCTCCTACTATATATCCGGAAGAGTTAGTTTCTAGTATAGTCTCCTATTCTAGGTTAAATTATAAAAGGGTAGACTCGGCTATAAATTTCTTCTTAAGTTTATTAAAGGCCGTATTAGCCTCTAACGTCTACTTAAACTCGGTATCCTTCTTAGTAAGTTCCGTTAAGGGAGCCGCTATCCTTAAGAAGTCCTTTATAAATCTCCGATAAAAGTTTACGAACCCTAGAAACCCTTATACCCCTTTTATCGATTATAGTACTTACTAGTTTAGAATAGCGTTAACCTTCGCGGGGTCTATTTTAATTCCTTCTTTAGTATCGATAATAAACCCGAGATACTTAGTAGAAGTAACTTCGAATTCGCTCTTATTAATATTAATAGATAGTCCTACCTCTCTTAGTTTCTAGAGTACTCTCTTTACCTACGCTCTATATTCCTTGAGGGGCCCTTCTATAAAAATTAAGATATTGTTAATATAGGCTAATACGAATTCGTCTAGGAAGTCCTATAGTACCTAGTTAATATATCGTTAGAATATACTCGATATATTAGTTAGATCAAATAGGGTTATAAGCTATTCGTATAGGCCGTACCGTATTCTAAACGCTATTATCTATTCCGATCCTTCCGCTATTCGAAGCTAGTAAAAGGTAGTAATTATATTGAGCTTAGTAAACTATTTCGCCTACGAAATCCGCTATAGTATCTTATTTATTAGAGGAAGGGGGTATCTATCCTTCCGGGTGATCTTATTTAGGCCCCTATAGTTAACGTAGAACCTTAGTCCTCCTCCTAGCTTCTTAGTAAATAGTATAGGGGCGGCTATAGGTGAGTTACTCACGCGGATAAACCCTTTCTCTAGTAGTTTTATAAGAGTTTTCCGAAGTACTAATAGCTCGCCTCTAGATATATTATAGAGGGGGCCCTAGAGGATCTTTAGCTTATTTCCCCGTTCGTTCTATTCGACTAGCTCGATCTCGTAATCGATACCTAGTCTATATAGAGATAGCGTTTCTGCTACCTTTTGGTCGAATATATCTAGGTACTTATAATACTACGGTAGTAGCTTCGTTCTAGAATCCGTCCGTGGCTTTACCTTTAGAGCCTTCTCGATGTCCGCTATGCTCGCTACGAATATTTCGACAGGAGCTATCTGGTGAAGACTTCTATAGATAGGCTCTGTTGTCACCTGTGCGTAGACTGGGGCCGAGTCCGGGTTTTTTACCCGGACCGGCCCGGTCCGACCCGGCCGGGTCGAGTCGGTATTAGCCTTTTTTTAGACTCGGTCCAACCCGGCGAGCCGGGTTAAGGCTTAGAACCCGGCCCGTCGAGTCGGGTTAAGGCTTAAAATATTCTAACTCTCTAAATAGGGAAGCTAAGTAAATAAGAATAGAATCTTTAGAAAGCTCTATTAATTCTCTATTAAATAAGGTTATTAGTAGTTTAATACTATTTAAATTAAGCTCTCTAGCTAAATTTTAAAGAAAGTATACTATTTTTAGAACTATATCTTAATATAAAGCTAGAGCCTCTAATACTAATAATTTCAAAATATAAATAGCCTTATTTTATAGAAAATTAATAGAGCTTTTAAATAATAATATTTTTATTCGCCTAGCCTTCCTATTTAGGAAGATATTACTATTAGTAATAGAAAGTTAAAAACCCGGGTTTTCTACCCGACTCGACGCGGTTCGGCCCGGTCCGACCCGTGCTAAGAATTTATTAGTACCGACCCGACCGGGTCGATATTTTAAAGGCTAAAACCCGGTCCGACCCGGTACCGACCCCACTCTACCTGTGCGTATAGTGTACTCTGTGTAGTGGGCTCGATAGGGGCTGTCTGGTGATGGCATCGCCAGACCGGCCTTGTTGGTGCTTGTGCACCTTGTCCTATAGACTCGCTGGGAGCCGTCTGGTGATAGTATCGCTAGACCGGCCTTATTAGTGCTTGTGCACCTTGTCCTATAGACTCGCTAGAAGCTATCTGGTAAGGTCTTCGCTAGATAGATTCTAACATTATTCGTAGACGGTACCCTGCCTCCTACTTATCGAGGTCTCCCTTTTACGCCTTCTCCCTCCTTGCTCTCCTATATAAGTAGCTAAAGGCTACGGCTAAAATTTCCTTTATATCTATTTTCCTCTATATATCCCCTACCTCTACTCTAACCCCTGTCCGATTAAAAACTAATATCCTCGTCTATTTTTCTAATAAGGCGTCCTAATCCGCTATTCAACCCCTTCCTAATATAATATTATACTCTGCTACCTACGGTAGGATATATATAAATATACGCTTCTATTAGTTACTTACGATATCTAGAGTCATATACCCTACTTCTATTATCGTCTTGCCCGTCGGTCTATTTATACCGGAGAGTATATATAGTATAATTAGAATACGCTTAATACGCTACTTCCTAGTAAAGGCTAATATTATTACTCTATAGGCTCTATAGCTAGTATCTATTATAGTTCTAGCTATAGCGGTTTAATTCACTATAGTATCTATAATAATATATAGACTTTCTATCTTTCCTTTCTAGAACCTTTACTATTCTTATAGTATATCTTCTTGGGGCTCCTATATACGCTTTAATA